CTCAATGACTCTCTAAAAGAATGCAAATAACCAGCAATGAATATAAATCCTTCCATTCCCCACCATCCACTCAGAGCTGAAGAAGCTTCTTGGATGAGAAGCAAAACATCTTCAAAGAAAAACAAGAAAGTGGGGATCCCTATATCACATCTCTCTTGAAGCATGATGGAAAGGAATAGAGATAGTGATGAGTAGGCAGTCATGTGGAAAACAGGGAAAATTCAGAGTGGAAGAGTTTTCCACTTCACCTTTCATACATGTACCTGGGTAACCTTTTGATACCCAGGAATGCTTTGACCTTCAGTATTAACAATCCTTGCCTAACAGATTAAGACTATAGCCACATTAGCACATGGTGCTAAACTTAAGTAGTGCAATATATTAGCACAACACACCAAATCATTAACCCACCAAATTGGCTCTGTTCATACAACATGTTAAATAAAAAATAAACACATATATACATAAAAAACCTTTAGCCATAAAGCCCTCTCTGTCCTCCCAAGCTTTGGACTAAGGGGGAACAAAATCTTTTGCCAGTTGTATTTTGTATATGTTTTAGTATTGTTTGGCCAGATTTCCTACCTTTCTCTCTCCTGCCAGGTCTCTCACTGACCTAGTTAATCATACAGTGGGAATCCAGCCAGGAAAAAAAGTTTTTTTGCTTCTATCATTGAAATGGAGATAGAGTTCCTTGATTGATTAATTATGTGCCATCAAGCTATTTCCAGCTCTTAGTCACTATATAAATTTTCTCCTCAATGCTAAGATCACATGTTAAACCCTAAACATGGTAGGTTAACTGAACACCTGCAGTCTTTACATGACATATTATACCCAGTCAAGTAAATTAGATTATGGCTTAAGCTAGTGGCCTGATTGTAGTGGCCTGATGCTCAGCCAGAACAGAAACAGTTGACTGGTCTGGTCATCTAGAAAAAGCCTGTTGAAAGACCCTACTATCAGGTTTGTGGAATATGGGTCTTCTTTGTGGCAACCCCATTTAGGGACCTACATGCAACTCCTCCTTGTTCATATTCTATAAGCAAGTCAGGGTGTATTATTTCAGTGAGGCGGTGGCCCCTCATAGTTTTGAATGGGGGTATTCATCTACATTTAATTTTGGGGTTTAGAATTACACATTTCTATTCTCTTTATTTTGCGGTGTACCACCAGAGACCTCCAGAATTGGACAGGTTACAAACACTACAAAATACATGAAATAAGTAAGCCTAATGCTTAGCCTAATGTGTTGTGCAAATTCAGCCTTAGAATGATACTTGATAAGCTTCCAAGAATCTCCTGGATTACCCTGAAGTTTATTTCAAAATCCTTGCTTTTCTACAAGAGCCTGATATTTGACCATCTTAATACTTGCCAATTTTAATAATTACATGTTGCTGGTATTAGTCTCCATATTTGTACCCAGTTTCTTTGCAGACATGCTGTTGCTAGTGGTAACATATAGCTTCTATAGCAGCATGAAATATTAACTGCCAAGTAGGATAGTGATTTTTTTATCATTAAACTTTCCACCATATACCCCCCCCCCCGTCTCCATGGAAGAAAGAAGTAAATGTAAAATATGACTTTTCAGATTGCATTAGGCTGAGAGGTACCAATACAGATAATTGCAATATCCTTTGATACCTATGTTCTATATTTACATATATAAAGGAGGTGTAAATTAATATTTCTATCTCAGACAGCAGAAAGAGAGGATTGAATTATTATTTTTGGGTATTCTTAACAGAAGGAAGATTTATATAACAGGTGTCCTTTTAGAAATGATGTAGTTTGCATGAATATTGGGTTTAAGTTCCTAAGAATGAGGTATAAAATGCTGCTGTATTTATAGGACTATTATTCACCATTGCTTTGCATTAAAGTTGGCAGGAATTTTCATATTCTCCAATCAGGACCACACAGCCTTTTCAAACCAAGGACTGCCACTGACATTTAATAGGATCATAGTCCAAAGAGTAGGCCAAGCTAGGACAAATATAACATTGAACTTAATTCCATTCAATTTCATACAATGTAATCGCAATTAGTTAAATGCAAGTAATAGGCTCATGTACTAAATTGCTTTTCCCTTCGTCATAATTTAGCGACAACTTTTGGAAGATTATATAAGTGGAACCCAAGGCTCTGTTGGCCATCTGATCTTCTAAGGTTAAAAGATCTTCTATGCTTGACTTAAGCTTTTCAAGTTGTTTAGCCATAAAACCTGTATCACTGTTGCCTAATTGCCTTTTAAAATAGAGATGCCAAGGGTGGAACCTGGGATAATTTACAGGAAAAGTAAGAGCTCTGCTAAAAACCAACCTCACTGAAGTCATGTCCTCTTCTTCTCATAGCCACCTGCACTATACATTTTTTGTTGCGCTTTCACTTAGACTGTGAAGCAGCTGGGCCACAAACGGAACTCCAGGTCTTCAACAGTTTACTCCTCAGCCAAAAGACCAACTACAACAGCTTTCTGTCATGTGGGACTTCAAAATAAAAATTTTAAATGTTTTATTCAGGTTCAGAAATTGAGATAAATGGCAAAGAATACCTATGAGAGAAATGTGCCTCATGGCTTCAATGCAATCTGTGTAAGGGATAGGACAGGGGTATGCAACCCAAAACACTCAAAGAGCCACTTGGACCCGTTTCCCACCAAAAACAAAACACTGGGAGCCGCAAAACCCTTTTGATATCTAAAATGAAGATAACACTGCATATATCCTTTTTTACCTTTATTACAGGTGTGTGTATGTGTATGTGTATGTGTGTGTGTATATGTGTATATGTGTATATATATATACACACACACACAAACACACACACAGACACACACACACATATATGCACATTAAAAATAAAAGTAAAAATATGACTCTTGGGAATATCCATACTATTAAAACAATGATCACCAAGAGAATGCTTTAAGAGAATAAAATTACATACACACACAGGTAAAAAAAGGATATATGCAGTGTTATCTTCATTTTAGATGTCAAAAGGGTCTCTCTCTCCCTCCCTCTCTATCTGCCCTTGGTCTGCCACTCCTCTTCCCCCACTCACTCTCTCTCCCTCTCTCTCTCTTTCTCTCTCTCTCTTTCTCCCCCCCCCTCCTATCTGCTGCTCACCTGGCAAGCTTCAGGCTGTTCTCCAACAATCTCAGGGGTAGGCAACCTCGTCTCTTTTATGACTCATGGACTTCAACTCCCAGAATTCCTGAGTCAGCCTAGCTGGGCTAGCTAGCTCTCTCCTGCCCTTCCTGCTTCCTGAGACGCAGCAAAGGGAGGAGCTCCGCCCAGAAAGCTTTTCAGCTCCTCGGAGAACACTGTGAGTGCACTGTCTTTTACACATACACACACACACACACACGCACGCACGCACGCACGCACACACACACACAAAACACACACACACACACACCCCCAGACACACACACACACACAGAGAGAGAGAGAGAGAGAGAGAAGCAGGGAAGTGCAATTGCCTCTCTCTGTCTCTGTCTCTCTCTGCAAAGGCAGAGGAGGCTGGGAGCCACAGGGGAAGGCTCAAAGAGCCGCATGCGGCTCCGGAGCCGCAGGTTGCCGACCTGTGGGATAGGACAATGCACCCTTGAAAACCTGTTTGGAAGAAGTATTTTGGGCCTTTTTTGGTATTCATTGAAACAGTCATGTCTTTCTCCAGGCTTTCATGTTAAGTATGAAAAAGTCAAGTTGCTTTAATGATTTGACCTTTTATAGCTCTAAGATTTTTTTTTAGGCTCATGAAAACCCAAAAAAGGTGTGGCTGCTTTAATTAGTAATAGAGAGATGCAATGCTTGTGCAAACTCTGAAGTACTTCTTTTAACCACTTTCAAAGCAAGCACAGACCTAATTGAATTCTTGACCATGTCACTGAGTGATAATCTTGATATAGGAATACAAGAATCATTAGGAGAACCATTAAGAGAAAATAAATGACAACTTATTTCTAAGGAAGGAGAGAACGTGAGAAAGAAATTCAAAACAATCCTGTTTTGATTCTGTTTGGTATAAGAGGGGGCAAAGGTAAATTGGCAGGTTTTCAAAGATTCTGTTATTATAGTGTACAACAATAAAGTCAAATTCCTGTAATCAATGGGTGTCTGTTTTCTGACCTGACCTAACTCAAAGGGCTGCCAATGATGCAGTCAATTACTCCAAGGCAACTCCCTAAAATAGTGACATCTTTTTTTCAGACTGATACAGAAGGATCTAGCTGTCTACAGCACTTTTCAGAATCATCTTCAAACTACACCCAGCCATAATAAGAGGCAGCTTAGAATTTTTAGAGGTTTCTGACTTCCTCTGCAATGAAATCATCACAATCTGCACAAATATATTAGAAGGGAGTGGGATGATTTAGAATTAGAAAAAGATAGTAATGAAATCTATTGGAAACAAAACAAGGTTTATAGATTGCCAAGATGAAAATTGAATATGAAAATTGCTTTAATCCCTAATCCTCATGAGTAATGAAAGGAAATATAACAACAAAGTTCTAATCAAACAGGGATTATATCATATTTTCACATAACTGGTCATGTTCAGAGGGAATTTTTTGCCTTTGTTTCAACAACTTCACTTCATTGTGACAAAGCAATACTTAGATGACATTGACTGACTCTAAAAGCTAAGTAGGATTAAATCTGGTTACTATATAGATGAGAGATCTCCACATAATTCCAAGGTTAAACTGGGATTCTGAATGAACCTTCTAAAAGAAGACAATATTAATCCCATTTTTATAACTGTTGCAAAGAAACCTCTATTAAAAATAATTGCAGATCATAATTCCCTGCCAAGTTGAAAAACACAAGGATTTCCAAAAACTAAACCATCACCGAGTTTTTCTTATCTCTTTGTACATCAAAAATAGCTAGAGGCTATCACTAGGAAGGTACAATTGAAAGTGTGAATTGCCATCTTTCTAGCCCTATCTATCACAGATCAAGAATGGATAGATTGGATATTACCTTGGCTGCTACAGAAGAATTGGGCTTCTCCAAAAGGTCCCAGAGTTTTTTTCTCTTCTCTGCACAGCAAGTGTTATCAAATTCCTCTCCCTCCCTTTCACGCATGGTTTCTGCTTCTCTCTTGAGCTCTTCATTCATCTGTTCCTTTTTCTGATGATACCTTGCCTGGCAACAAGATTCTAGATAAATTTCATCAATTCCCCAATAGTCCAGTTCTTGGCTGAAGGACAAGGCGCACATTTCCTCCATCATGTGCAACTTGCCTGTGCGGTAAAAGTTCAAGATAGAAGTAAATGCCCCTGGGTGCCTATCAAAGAAATATTCATTCTCCTCCAAGTTATAGTCATCACATATATCCATCAGGGATTCATGAGTATTGCAATCTCTGAGTTTACCCAATTTTGTCCGTGGTAACCTGTCCAAGGTTCGCCATAAAACCTCATGTGCCAAGCCCCCCACATTAAGCTTGACCCTTCTGGAACAAGCTTTGCTCCTGACAATCTCCATGGGATCCGGGGGCAAAGAGGTAGTAGATCGAGATCCATGTTTATTCATTCCTGCAGGCATTGCTTATCTTTAAAAGATTGAAACAGGCTGACAAGTGATTCCTGTGTCTTCACAGTTCCAGACAGGTTCTCTTCATCTGTTTTCCGGCTCCTCCATTCCTGTAAACAAAATAATCCACAGAATTACTGGTAACTTCAGCAAATTAAATGGAAAGCTTCTTCCTGTGTTTGCAAACTGCCTGTTGTCTAATTAATCAGGGAGTTATACAAATAGCTCAGTTAGTTTGCTCGAAGGAGCAGCAGAGACAGGAGATGGGCTGTAAGAGCACAGGCTGCTGTTCAGTGTCATGGTGCTGAAACTGAACAAAAAGTCCTAAAGAAAGTGAACTGAAGGAAGGGAGAAATGCTAACAGGGGCTTTTAGCCACTGAACTAACAAAGCCTTCTTACAGCCTTTATCCAATTTCATACATTTTAGTGGTAGGGAACACTTAGAGCTATCCAGTACCTAAAGTGCTGAAGACAAATTCTTTACATATCTTCTCCCAGAGCACAAATATCTGTGCTGTGTTGTTCTGAAAAGGCTGATCATCCTCATAAGCCCAGCATCCATTTTAATTCATTTCAACTTTCTCAAAATGCAAGGCATTTCATGTTCTTCATTTTTACCTATCCTCCTTTTAGATTAAAAATTAACATACATTTTTGTGGACTTTTTTGAACGGATAAGTGCATAATGTGTTACCCTGGCCAATTATTCAAGCTATGTTAATATTTGTCATTTTAATGCCAGTTAGCCTCTTTCTTTCCTTGTACAGTTCCTTCACACACACACATATAAGCAGAGGTTCCAAGCAAGAGCTTTCTTCTTGATGTATGAATAAGGTTGATATTGATAGGATGTTTTCTATTATCATCAGAAGCTTTGGGTTTTGGGAAAAGGATGTGTAGGAAATTAGGCCTATGGAACAAGCTAAAGGATCTGATAGTTTACTACCCTGAGGTACTATGATTCTCAGTGTTTCATCCAGAAAGACCAACAATCAAACCTCTTTACCCATAAAGTATATATGCCATATAAACATATAAGGAAATAATCAGACACAGGCTCACCAAAACGTATATTCCACTACTCAAATATGTACTTTTCTGTATAAAATCTTAAGAAAACACATTATACACTATATTATAGTTTCCCTGGGAGAGAGAAAGAAGAATTTGCAATAATGCTGACATAAATGTTTTGCAGCTATGAGTACAATTACCTACTGATTTCAAATGATCTACCTAATCATCTATCCACCAAAATATGTACATTTTCAGACTGAAATATCAATATGTATTTTGTATTCACTAGTTCTAAAATATCAAAGCATTGCTCATTGTACCTATGCATTTAGCTGCATTTTCCAGATAAGTTCTTCTTTGCCAAAGGGATGAATTATGTTTTAAACAGTGAACAGATTATATTTAACAATTTAAAGAAAAAAAAGATATTTCCCCTTTACCGTCTTCATGTGTGCATCTCATCTTTCTGTACGTATAAACTCAAAGACATCAGGAGCTCAGGCTGACATTAACAAATTATAATACCGTAATACATCTATTAGCAACCTTGCTTTTAAAACTTACATAGTTGTCCTTCTACTCTACATAAAGAACATCTAAGACAAAAGAAAACCATGGTACTTTCACAGCATTATATTCTTACTCTCTGAAAGTGGGAGCAGTGGCAAACTGGTTGAAGTCAAAACAAACCCCCAGACACATGTGCATGCACACACACACACACACACACACACACACACACACACACACACGTCCATAATGTGCATAAAGAAAATCATGCCTCCCTCCAGTATTTTAAATATCCTTACACAACCCATTTGAGTTAAAGAATGTTACCTATTTTAAAGGTTGGCCTACAGGTAGCTCACTAGATGACAAAACATCAGGGCAGAGAGACAGACTTTTGAATAATTTGCTATTAAAAGGACTGTTATGCCTTGTATGAAATGGGAGAAGTTGGCATTTTTTTAAAAAAAATTAATACTGTATAGTGGGAGGAAGACAAAAGCTAAAGCATTCTGCTTAAGTTTGTAAAAGATGGCATAGCAAGGGTTGAAAGAAGAGCCAGGGTGGAAAGGGGTGTGTGTGTGTGTGTGTGTGTGTGTGTGTGTGTGTGTGTATTCATAAATGCATTTGTGGTAAATGGGGTGTGAGGCCATCCAGTTATCAGCTCAATGCTTCCAAACAACCTGGCAATGATGGAGGGAGCAATTAGGCTAGCAATTAGGTAGGGATAATAAGAAGCTAAACTGAGTTTTAGCCTGAAGGAAATAATGATTTGCATATCTTTTTATCGATGTCTGAAGGAGAGAACCCTTTCTCAGCACCACCACCGGGGACTAACTCACGAGAGTCGTCATAACAACAAAATATACATGTGTGCATGTGTCCATATTTATATGTATATATTTGGAAACGCCGTCAACCCCGAGATGACTGCTCGCCTTCTCTCCTTCCTCGCACTGTTGCTTTCTCCCAGATGGCCTCAACCACAAGATCCAGCCATCCGTCGGAGGAGCAGAAAACCCTCCCGCCTCTCCCAGCCAACCCAGCCCAGATTTCCCGCGGCCCGCCAAGGCGAATCCCCGGCTCCCCACGGCGCCGAGCGATCACGGGATCCTCCGCCGCTGCCCCCAATTTCTCTGCCCTCCCCCCGTCTCTCACCTCGCCACTTACTTCCTTTCCCACGACCCCAGAGCAACGCCGGAGCGGGCTTTCGGCGGAGAGGAGGACATCGGCCGGGAGAAGCTACATCCTGCTTCAGCCGAAGAAGGCGAGGTCAGCAGGCGGGCTCGGCGGGTGTCCTCCTGGCGAGCCGGGGAGGCGGAGTGGAAGGTGGCGGCAGACGGGGGGGGAGACAGCGATGCAACCCCCCCTCCGCGCACCAAATCCCGGGACAACCGAGCAGATTGGGAGGGGCGTCACGCGGCCCCGAAGTCTAAAACCTGCCGCTCGTTCCCGAAAGGTAAATCGCTTAGGAGGAGGAGGAAAAAAAAAACCCATAAGGCCCTCCAGTGGATCTTTGAATTCCCGGGTTTTTCAACTTCAGATCCACCGAGCGTGTCAATGGGCTCCGGGCTCAATTAGAATGAAGAGGCCGGGCAGCGCTTCAAGACAATTCCTCCCCCTTCTCGCGTTCTCGTTTCTTAACGGAGATCAACAAGTCCGGTGATCTCCGTCTCCCCCTCGCAATTCTGTCCCGGAGTTTGCGGACAGAGAAGTGGAAGTTGAACAAGGGAAGAGGAGAAGAAAAGAGCGCCATCTCGAGTTCGGATGCGGCATTACGGGCCGTGGAGGGATTGCGACAGAGGGAGGCCGGCAAAATGCGCCTGGTTTAATACGGAGAAGGATAAAGAGTCAAAGGCAGGTCACCGCGTGTTTTTTTTAAGAGGGGATTAAACCATCTTTGGATTCCCAGTGTCCTGGAAGACGAGGCGGAAGTACTGCCATTCAATACAGAACAGAAAATTACAGGTTTATTTTCTACCTTGTCACCTAACAGGCTAGGGTAGGGGTAGGCAACCTCGGCTCTTTTATGACTCATGGATTTCAACTCCCAGAATTCCCGAGTCAGCATGGCTGACTCGGGAATTCTGGGAGTTGAAGTCCATGAGTCATAAAAGAGCCGAGGTTGCCTACCCCTGGGCTAGGGCAGTGGGTAGTGATGGAAGACTTCCTCTGTCGGACCTCCTGAGAACTTGCTGTCAGTTCGAGCAGTTGCTTTGGTGGTTCAGACTCTCTCTTGAGTTGAGCTTGACTCTCCATGGACATGTAGTATTTTTTGCAGCAGAGAAAAGAATTGGCAGAGGCCATGGAGGCCTGCGGAAGAACAGGATACTTATCAAAATTGCAAGCTGCCTTCTTTTCCTTCGATTTGAGCCTTTTCCTCAGCATCAACATAGCAGAGTTGCCAATTTTAAAACAGGTGTGGCAGAAGATGGGAGAAGGGCAGAGGAGACTTGTGTTTTGGAGCAAACGGCAAACTACCAAATGGAGCCAAATGAAAGAAGACATTTTTCCTTCAGAAAGATTGGATGGTCCAAAACAGAGGGAAAGAAGTGTAGTATCACAGCAAAACAAGGCACAACATAAAAAGGGTGCGGGAGCTTTACATGCTGGCCATTAACAGAAAAAGAAGAAATCACAGAGAGAGGGGACTCAAGACAGAACAATCTTAAGAACTGTTGATGCATACTAGCAGTAGTATAGAGCATATATATAGAGTAATAGCTAACAGTAATTGAGTAGTAATAGTATTGAGTATAGTATAAGTATATATAATTGGGCAGTAATGGTATACAGATAGCAACATAATATAGGAAGCACTGACGTATCAATTTCATATGTTTGCTTTTACAAAATAAGATCTGTCCTCAACCCTTATAGGGAGCTATAATGAAACCACACTTCAGGGTCCACTGCTTTTCTCTTAAATGTGGGTCAATCTAATTGGGCACAGATTAAAAAAGAACCCTTGCCGAAGCGCAACTCCTCGCTCAGTACAAAATGCATATTAAAACATACCAGGCAAATGGTTGATCACATCCAGTGAAGACAAGACCACCCCTTTTCCTAATAACTGACTGCACTATCAAACTATTCTTGCTTTCCATAATTTAAATCCATTATTCATGTACTATGGTTTGGAATAAGAAACAGCAGACCTTGATCATCTTCTATATGACATGTTTATGTACTTGAAAAGTGCTTCTATATACCCCCCTCATAGTAATCTTTTCTCAAGGTTAAATTTATCCAATTCCTTATGTCCTTATTGTATATTCACCTCACTTCTCTAATCCATCAAAGGATTTTTTTTTTTACCTGTATTAGTTCTATCACCCAATTTTGGGCCAACAGCAAATTTGATTTTTTTTAAAACACCACTTGTGTTGTTTAGCTTTGGTTTACTATTGTATAGTGTGAACCTGGCCACTATTGTGATTGGCAAACCATATTTTATGACTAGGCTTGTTGACCCAGTTCTGTGGGGTTTTTAAATAGTATTTTAAAAAAGTGTTGTGAAATGTAGATTATGCATTATATTTTTTAAATAAAGTATTCTGTACAATATAGATTAAGTACTAGTAACATCATTATGTTTAGATAACAGACCATTGGAGTTTTAAAAAAGAAATATATATATCAGTATTAATTACGATTTAAAACTTCAGTGTTAATGAACATAAAATTATTTAGCTTTTTTATCCAGAATTGAATGTAACATTTAAAAACAACCGCAGGTTGCATCAAAGTATTTGCTGTATAATAAAGGTTTTGATCTTAAGCTCATTACTTAGTATTAAAGTCTCCGCTGTATTGTTACTTAATATTGTTTGTGCATATTGAAAAAAAGAAAAAGGAAGATAATTTTGACAATAATTAAATTAAAAAGAGAAAGAGAAAAGGGAAAAAAGAAAAAAAAGACTATTAAATTATTAACTTCCCCCTTTTTTGCTTCTGGTAATTTACAATATTTGTAAACAGTTGGGTTGTGAATGTTTATTTTTATTGTGCTGTGTGATGACCCAGCTCTGTATTGTCCACCTGCTGCCCATTCACTTGCCAAGTCCCTGTGGGCCCCATCCATGCCAGCTTTCATAGCCTTTTGTGAGGTACAAGAGATTGTTATCAAACAAAATGGAGGCTGCACTCTTTTTTTCCTTCCCCATCTTTTAGATACGATCATAGTCAGACCCTTTGCCTAATCCCTTCAGGCCCAAATTGACCATCTTGCCCCAGACAAAGCCTCCTGCAAAACCATCTAAGCCAAAGAATAGAAGCCTTCTCACCAGCCCAGCCCATGGGCTGCCTTGACAAGGAAATTGCAACACGGAGTAACCCCAACCTTCCATCATCCATCACAGCATTTCTCAACCTTGACAGCTTGAAGATGTGTGGACTTCAGCTCCCAGAATTCTGGGAGTTGAAGTCCACACATCTTCAAGCTGCCAAGATTGAGAAATGCTGATCTATCATAGTGTTTCTCAACCTTGAGAACTGTAAGATGTGTGGACTTCAACTCCCAGAACTCCCCACCCAGCTAGTCAATTCCCCAGTTGAAGTCCACGCATCTTAAAGTTCTCAAGGTTGAGAAATGCTGCTCTTGTCAACGGATGGCCTCCTCATTTCATCTCCTTTAACAATGGACTTCCTCGGTTCTGCTACCCTCCTAAACGCCCATTTGCCTGACAATAGAACTCACCATAGGTACAAGGATATGTAGAGCTTCTCCAAACTGGTCAGCACATTGTCTCTCTCTCGGATTTCTCACAATGTAGCCTTTAAATTCCATACAGGTAGTCCTTGCTTAATGACTATTCAAAGTTACAATGGTGCTGAGCAAATAAGTATTTGCAATCGGTCCTCAGATTTACAGCCATTGTAGCATCCAGCAGTCACTTTGGGTGCTAGGCAGACCACCCACATTTACAACTACAACGTGAGCTTCAATTGTTCCCACCCACCTTTCTCCCGTCTCTGTCCTTTGGTGGCCCTGCACTCTGCTGCTCCCTGCCACTAGGAGCCAATATTGGAAAAGTTTTGCATAGCCAGCAGCTGCCTCTTAAAGGGCCAGTCATGCATGCCTCAGCAGTGGGAGAAAAAAAATGGCAAAGGACAGCTGGGGTGAAAGGGAGGATGCAGGGGTAAGCAGAGTGCAGGCGGTGGTGGTACAAGGCAGCCAAAAGGGTAGAGATGGAGGGAGTAGAGAAGTGGGAGGGGGGACTTGAAATGGAGATGAGCATGGCAGAAGCAGGAGAAGTGTGAGGTCAGCCACAACCAGGACTACCAGAACTGCTGTCGCTAAGCATGCTGTCCCATGGTGTTTTGCCTCATGGCGTTTTGCATAGTGATGGATATTCTGTTCCTAATTAGGGCTGTTAAATGAGGATTAGCTGTATAAATCTTTGCTTTTTGAAAAGCAGACTGCATATTGTTGTACTATGTGATGGGAATGAGATTGCAGAGTTCTGGAAGGGCTTTAATGAAGGAGATGAAAGGTTATTTGTTTTTTTTTTTTACAAAATATCTTGAAAAGAGAAAACTGGTACAGTATCACAGTGAGGGCTGATGTAACATCATTCTTCTTCTTAAAGAATTGTTCCTTTTGGGGACTTCTTTTTTTAAAAGACATTTCTTTGATGTGTATATAGAGAAAGATAAAGGAGAGTAGCGTGAAGAGCATCATGATAGATAGCAGCAGCAAGAAACATCTTTCTCTTTGGATGTCAGATTATAATACCCAGCCACCCCAAGCCACAGAAGTGATGGTGAAAGATACTAGAAGTTGTGGTTCAGCAATATTGGAAGACCAGAGATTCCCACATTCTTGCAATCCACAATTCTGCTGCATTTGTATATTGTAACTATGGGCTGACAAACTCCTTCCTCAAGGCAGACATTAATCAGTCAAACCTCCTTACTTATTGTTCTAACATCATTGCTTAAAGGGAACATTCTTGATTTAGTTGTAAAATACTTGCTTTGCATGAAAAAACATCTCAACTTCTGCCCCAGGGCTGGGATGTTGAACTTAAGATCTTCTACATGAAAAACATCATATTCCATCACAGAGCTTTGGTTTCCTTTTGTTGATCTGACTGAACTTCTGATTCTGACAAGGCCTTAATAACTTTTTTTTTAAATCACTATTGATATTTTGCACAAAAGGATCAAGAAAGTGAAGATGCTATGTTGGAGAATGCAAAAACGTCTTAATGGGCACTGTACTATAAGTTATACTTCAAGAGCAAATTTAATGGATCTTCTGAATGTAGATGCACACTGTTATGAGATGCTGAGCATAGAGGGTATGCACGCATGTCTCTGAGTAGAGCTAGATTTTTACCCTCCAGTTTTCATAACCTTTGCTGCCTCATTTTCTTTTTGCTGTGCTAATAAAGTCCATGTAGTTTTCAAAGACTGATGCAAAGTAGCAAAAGGTAATAAATGTAAGCTATAATTCTAATTCTGAATAAATATTTAATGATTCTAATGCTATGTTATGGACAAGTCAGCCAGAATAACCTGGAAACGTGCACAGTGGGAAGAGCTGTGCTGCAAAGGGGTTTGGGGTAATTGGATACATTAAGCCTTCAGACCACAAGTCCCTGAACAGCTATAAGCATTTGTTGCACTGCTGGCTCATTCATGCTGAAAGATCTCTGATAGATGCTGCTCCATGTCAAACCGCCAACCTTAGCTTTCATTAAGAACCACTGGCTTATCAGGAAAGTTGGACTTCACATTAGGCAATCTTCTCCTGAATCTAATGTTTTTAAATAATGATTAATCTAAGGAAAATTGAACATTTTGTGATGAGAGTGTTTGCTTGAGAATATATACATAACAAAGTGCACTTCCAGGGCTTGTAACTTGAGGTTTTCATATTGAACAAACTGTAAGTAAGATGAGATATGGAAGATAAGATATGGGATCTGGTTGCTCTCGATACAGCACTTGAAGATCACCAGGTTGGAAAATTTGAATTAACTGACTGAACTCATTTATTCATGAATAGAATAGAACAGAACAGAACAGAACAGAGTTGGAAAGGACCTTGGAGGTCTTCTAGTCTTCTAGCCAGGCAGGAAACCCTATACCAGTGATGGTGAACCTTTTAGAGACCGAGTGCCCAAAACCGCCCCACCTTCAGCCTGCCCTTGCTCTGCCCGCCCACCCCCGTCCTGCTCCACCCTCACCCTGCCCACTCAGGGCCATCCATGGCCTGTTGCAGATCGCCCAGGTGGTCCTGCAGCGCCATGGTGGCCACACACTCCGCCCGCACCCCGCAGCATCATCTGCAGCCCAGCTGCCATGTGTTTGGCTGCGCTGCTCTGCCCGAGCTGCACCCGGAGGTGACTCTCCTCCGGGGGGGGGCTGCTGATGAGGAGGGGGCTGCAGGGGAAAGTGGGGTTGGGGTGACATCATGTGTGCCCACAGAGAGGGCTCCGAGTGCCACCTCTGGCACTCGTGCCATAGGTTCGCCATCACTGCCCTATACCATTTCAGACAAATGGCTGTCCAGTCTCTTCTTAAAAACTTCCAGTGTTGGAGCATCCACAACTTCTGGAGACAGGTTGTTCCACTGATTAACTGTTCTAACTGTCAGTAAATGTCTTCTTAGTACTGGGTTGCCTCTCTCCTGGATTAGTTTCCATCCATTGCTTAGAGCACATCTTGTACTTTAGAGCTCATGTGTAATCTTATACAAAGAACCCCCCCCCACACACCCTGTAATTTGTTAAAAAATATATTTAGGTATTCTTAAGATGAACAAATGTAAATCTATCCAAAAGAAACTTTGCAATAAAAGACAAGGCCAAACTTCGTAAAATTGACACCATTTATTTATGCTTGTGCTTTTATTTGAAGTATAACATTTTCCTCCCCTGCAGAGACAGTTATTGTAAAGTATTAAACGATTTCAGGGAATAAATATGATAGCATTGTTTAAAAAAGATTTCTCAGAGTAATGTCTGCAATGTGTTCAAAAGCTACTTTATCCTAGTAATAGTCATCTTCTAGGACCTAAACATTAAGGTTTGTACTATGGGTGTCCAACCTTGGCAACTTTTTGTGGGTTTCAACTTCTAGAATTCCCCAGCCAATCGTGGGAATTCTGGGAACTGAAATCCACAAGTCTTAAAGTTGCCAAGGTTGGACACCCCTGGTCTATGCAAATAGCTTTATCATCAGACTATAGTCAACCCATCTACATGAATGCATGGCTTTCAACGGGGATGTACAATTCAGGGACTAAATCAGTGGTTCTCAACCTTTTTAATGCCGCGACCCCCAACCGGTCGTAAGTCAAGGACTACTCAACCAGTCGTAAGTTGAGGACTACTCAACTGGTGCACCGTTTGCAGAATGGGACTTTTGGCGGGCTCAGCAAGGCAGAGACAGCCTGGACAATTCCTATTGGCTTTTGAAAGCCAATAGAATTAGACTCTATTCAATAAAAGAAACAATTTAAACAAAACTAAAGAGCAATAGTAGCATAATGAACAATTTTATAAGAATATCCTATGAGATTTCATGGGAACGGCTTCCTTTAACAGGTTGTTTTAGATCAGCATTTTTCAAATTTCATAACTTTAAGATGAATGGATAGCATCTTAAAGTCTACACATCTTAGAAGTTGTCAAGTTTGAAAAACACTGATCTAGCTCAACTTTGACCAGGAAACCTCAATTGGTGTTCTGTTGTTGTTTTCCCCCTAAAGCTTTTATTTAATTCTAATACTGAGATTATTTGCTCTGTTAAAGATATGTGTTAAATTCTTATTTAAAAGAAATATTTTTACAATAGTATTTTGCTTATTTTTGTTTTATAACAGCATCTACAAATATTTCCAGAGGGAAATTAAACAGCAAAACTATGCAGAATCTTACAATTTTAAAAAACTAATACATTTATTATAGCACTTTTTTTGTGAACTGTAGTCTCCAAAGACTGCTTGCTTCTGTTTGATGCTGGAAAATGAAAGTCTAGCTTTAAGGGAAAATGTAATAATAACACTTGGAAAGTGGGTTTTTTTTTTTTTTTTTGCAGTTTGGTTTGGTTTCCCCATAGAAGTCATTTTTGTAGCTTTTGCCTGGAATCAAATATAAATATACTTGGTAGTTATTAAACGTCATTATAAGTGTAGCACCGTGTCTGAAAAAAAAAGCTGCTGTACTCTATATCAGGGGTTCCCAATCCCTGGAGCGCAGACTGATTCTGGTCCGTGGCCTGTTGGGAAATGGGCCACAAAAGTGGCAGGTGAGCGAGTGAAGCTTCTGTCCAGGCGCAGGATCTAGATTGTGCACGAAACCATCCCCCTCCGGTCCATGAAAAGTTTTATTCCATGAAACCAAGGTGCCAGAAAAATTGGGGACCACTGCTCTATATAATCTGTTGAAGATCCTATGAACCAGTGTTTTTCAAACTTGGCAGCTTTAAGATATGGATTTCAGCTCTCAGAATTCCCCAGCCAACATTAGAATTGAAGCCAACGTGTCATAAAATTGCCAAGTTTGAAAAACACCGCTGTAGTGGAGTGGATGAATTCAACCTGATGGTTGTGTGGGCTACATACAAATTATTATGTATACTAAGTGGGAAATAAGTTTAATTAGACACAAGGGCTAGAGTTTTACTTTTCATGAAGTTATAACAGTTTCAAGGTAGATGAACTTAGTTATCTTCAAGGTAGATGAACTTAGCTATCATAATTTGTAAACCATGGTCTGGGATTTGGAGTTAGGTGTGAATTTTTGTGTGTGTGTATACCTAGCAACTCCATTGACAAATTCATGCTGTTTTCTTGGTAACATTTTTTTGGAAACGCCATTGCCTTCTTTCTAGGTCTAAAGAAAAGGGACTGGCCCAAGGTCAGTTGGCTTGGTGCCTAAGGCAGGGCTACAAACTGAGTTTCTAGCCCATGTCTTTAATCAAACAGATAGCAAAGTGGCTGTCATGTGTGAACTAGGTTGCTCTATTGTTCAGTAAGCCATATTCTAACCTTAGTATAGCATAAAATATAGTCCAGTTACTCTTATAGTCTTATAGTTAGAAAGTCACTTAAACATAAGTGTTGCATAATTGTACTGATGCACAGTGAAGTGTGTTTGCAAATAAGTAGGGATAAATTGTAATCCTAAAGTTAAAGCTGAAGATTAAAACACAAACACACACATACACATATAGACATACAACTTGAATAAATATTTACAAATAAATTATTGAGGAACCTAATATTGGGTTGCCTCATCAAGGCTGGAAATGGAAAGGGTTGCCTCATCAAGGCTGGAAATGGAAAGACACTGCTGTCTACATGCCCATGTAGTTTTCCTGGCAGCAAAATGAGAATAGTTTCCTTTCGTCTTTTTTCCAGGATATTTTTTCACCTTCCTTTCATCTTTTAACTATAATCCTGTGATTTTCTGGTAATCTTACTTCTAAGTACTGTTAAGTTTACTGCCTATCTTTTCAATATCAGCCAAGATCATTGAATGTTGCCCCCGGCTTTGGACCTCACCAAGGCTAGGCTTCGTTAATTTTTTTGCTATTGTAGAGGGCATAAAGAATGGGCTTGAGGGACTGAAAGAATATATTGTTACTATATTTTACAATAAAAATAATATGGGCCTATACAACTTTATTTTCCTGATCTGGTCTACTTTGAAGGCTGGTAGCTAGGTATATCAATCATAGTCAACATATGTTGTTGCAATGAAATAGTGCCATTTGGACTATTCTAATACCATTTTGCAGTCTTCATGATATTTCGGGTTGCTGTGGTTACTTGCTTCCAGCATTCCTTTTCTACATTTATTTGTCTGGAATATTTGGGAGCTGGGATGAAATCAACAAGAGTTCTGCCATTTTCCAACTCTAAGGCAAGTGATAGGAAATATGGTAAACTAGGCTAAAAGTCTTCTCTATGGCTTGTAAACCTATCCAAAACTAGTCCAGCCAATAGGTTAAGAGCTTGAAGATAGCTCACTCTACACTCCATACCCTACTTTAACCCCACCAATATTCAGCTGGACCATTGTGTTCTGAAATACCCCATGTAACAGATTACTGGCGTGGAGCATCTCCACAATTTCATTTTGACACTATCTGAGCCACTGACACTTATTCTCCCAGCCTGCTCTGCCACTCTTTAAAAAAAGCGATTGGTGGTGGTTTATTCTGATAGCAGTTGACACTGGATGAGAAGGAAACAAAACTTCTGAAGTGGCAGAAGAAGAGGGAACAAGGTGGAAAGAAAATGGATGTCTCTAGTCCCACAGAGAAATCATACCATGGGCTGGACAACTGACAGTAGAAGTCTTAAAGATCTTCTGCTGTCATTAACGGGCATCAAAGGAGGCATTCTCAATGCCAATTCCCCCCACAGCTTCTTGTGTGGACAGACATCCCAGTTCTCCTTTGTCAAAGCAGAATAAATGTTGGTGAAGTGTGGTCAACACTTCTTTAAGATGACATAAGCTTAAGCTAGCTCCTGTGCTGAATAACTGCATTTTAATGCTGCTGTCCAGAACAGCCTGTCATCTTGCTCTTGAATGGAACTTTCTGTCTACTATTTATATTAACTCAAAAATACACTGATTTCAGTAGGTGACTTTGTGATGATGTAGTTGGATTGGCAATATTGCTTTGGGGTAGGGAAGGGTAGCCCTTTTTGGAATACAGTTCTTAAGTAGCAAGCTAGCATGGTGAACAGTGAGAAATCCTGGATAGCCACAAATTAACAATACTAGGGTAATATAGCTGTGTTTGCTGTGGAGATAAACTTTATCAAACTGGGAGGTGCAACCAAGCGATAGAACCCCTGCCCTCTTTATTTGTCTGGAGTGCATATGGCTGCCATTATGACATCGATTCCCCTGCAGCCAGACAATGTATGTGTGTTTCTCATATACACACACACATGAATAAAACACACACATACACTGCTCTTGATGTAGTCAGTTACTATCTGCTCTATATTATGAGAGGGTTTGGGGTGTTTTTTTTAAAAAAAAATTCTTGAAGAATCTAAGGATGGAACAGTAAGTTAATAGTTTACAGTTTTCAATTGAACAAATTATTTTTATTCATATTTATTATTCACTGTTCATGAACTCAGAACTTAGCTGGCTTTCTAACGTGTCACAAAAGGCCAATTTAAATGCTTTATGCACATATGTACTATTTGAAATTGCCTACTTGCATCAACATATATATACAGAAATACTGGTTTGCAAAAACTTTTGAATATTAGCAACTTGCAGAACAGCGTAAAATGCATTTTCATAGCTAAACATAAATCAGGCTTCTCTAAATTGATGCTTTAAAGGTGCATTAAATTACAACTCTCAGAATTCCCAGCCAGAATATCTGGAGGATCATAGTTGAGAAAGACAAAAGAAGCACTGGGCCAAAATATTTTTCTGAATTCAAACTGATAAAAAAATAAAGTGCTTTTGCTTTTTTTTTTTTTAACTACACAAAGGAATCTCAATTAAAATCCACATAAAAGGAGTGTGGTGTTTTTGCATTAATTCTGTTATAATTGTACTCAACGAGAATGGAAATATTATATCTGGATCTTGTAGTACATTGTGAAGTATTCCTCCTACAGTCTACCCACCCACCCCCCTTGCTTTTCACAAGGGGGCTTCTTTCAGATGAAAAGTCATTGTAAGCCTGAGAGGCTACAGAGTGATGGAGAGAGGTCAAACTGAAAAAGTAACAGCCTTACTCTCAATAGCTTATATTACAATGAATTTCTTCTTGAAATGTTCTGAGAATGAGGTAGAAAAACTGAAGTCACCTTCACAAGGGGAGAACAGTTTAAGGAAATTGGAAGGCAGAATATGGTCTAGGATTAGACATTTGCCATCCTTTTAGTAATGGGTCCCAAAATCAATTCCAATAGAAACTAACAATCATTGTTTGTTTGTGCATTATGCACTAGACAGAATGATTGAAGAAATGGGCCATCGCTTTACTGGGCTTTCAATTTATATCGAATTCTGACATCCATTTCTGGCTGCAGCATTCCAAAACCATGTCTCTCCTTGTCAAAGCCTGGGATCTTCTTAGCAGAATCTATCAGTTCCAAATCAAAACAGTTTAAGAGGTGGAAAACACATCTGTAAATAGGAGAAAGCAAAAACAAAATCAGTTTAGCCAATGATGTTGACTGTGCATTTTTTGTGCTTTAATATCAAAGAAGTAGAAATATCTAGTCTGAACAAAACAGAGGGGATATTTAAAAATTATAATTGTAAAAGTAGGCTGTACAGCATGCAAATTTGCACAGTGAATCTTTATCCTATTAAAAATAACTGTGATCTTATGTAGTTTTACTCAGAATAATGTGTGGCTTTATTTCTAAGAGACAATGGAGCTCACAGATGTAATTCTTAACAAATTTACCAGGCAGTAAGGCCCAGGGGAACTTATTTTTACAAACTAAGGCTTACAGATGCTTCAGACCCAGAAAAGCAGGCACAAGGGCTGAGATATTTCTAGGCAATCAGTGTAAACTCTAAATGGATGAGTAAATGAATCCTTGAAATTTTGCTAAGGCAAAATTTAAGAACAGACCAACTACCAAACTGAATGCAGACTATTACAAATTAACAATGAACAGTAATATATTCTTGGGTATATAAGCAAACTTATGTTTGCTGCCTGCTTTGTATTGGAAATAACAGCCGATATGTATTATCAGACAGAACTTGCGGTTGATATTCATCTTGTGCCCTTTCAGTCTCGATGGATCACAAGATGTAAATTTTATTTATGTACCCATTTTATGAGAAGTTAGTGGGTGAATATGAACAGCGATTCTGGAACTAATAGATAACGTAATCTCAGATGGAGTATTATCTGAGTACAGATGAAGACTTCATCAACAGTTGTAAAAATGGATTCAACCCCTATTCAGACAGTGAAACCAAATCAGATGAGTGTTTCTGTTCACTTTGTTTTGCCTTGGAGAGCTTTAGCTTCTGCTACAAGCGTTACCTCACTTCCTTTCATCGACACTATGCTTAGAGATGGGTATTTTATCAGTGTTATGCATTCACTTACAGTTTGATGCTATTAACTGCAAAGAACTTCCCAATGCAGGCATTTACTCCTGCTCCCCATGGCATATTGTAATACTTGAGCCTTTTTCCTCCTTTATAGAAGTCTTTTTTTTCTGTGCCGTCTGAATTGAGAAATCGATCATATACGAACTTCTGAAAAACAAGTTCAGATAAATATTCCTTTTCATTTGAACTAACCAATATTTAAAAAAGAAACATCCTACTTAGGATATTTAGCTATATAAAATTCCATCCAGAAGTTTAAACTAGAATACATGGGAGAGGAAATAGCTATGTGACACATGATGGAGCTGGATCCGAATTTAATGTTAAAGCAAACCCATTGAAATTGGTACAAATTAACCCTAATTAACTTCAATCCCCTGAAAGACTATGTGTTAACTATAATGAGGTCTTGAAACAATCAAAAATATTTACTGTTGCAAAACATGGCAAAAGAAATGAAAGCAGTTACATAAGATAAAGTCCATACGGTATTATTTTAGACTTTTAAATTTTATTTTAGTTGGTTTTTTTAAATACTGCCTTTATTATTTTCATCCTCCACAACTCCAATAAAAAGAATGAGAGCTGCATTCACATAGGGAAGGAAATGAATCTTCAATATACTGGATTCTTATACTTTTATTCTAACAAAAAAAGAAGATTGCAATTACTTAAAGATAATTTTCACTCTGGATACTTCTCCACTCCAAAGTAAATTTAATCATAAAGCCTTGCTGAACGTTATGAAAATAATTTGTTATACTGGTAAAAGGAATAGCAATTCCCTAAATGAATAGCTACATATTACTTTTTCCTCAACAAAAAGGCAAACCTTTCTCCTCTATGCTGAAGAGGAAAGGAAAATAGATAAAAGAGTTTTCCTCTCACAGATCACCTTTGTGTAGATGTCGAGTAGAATATTTGTGGGAATTCTTGTATTGAGATCTTAACCTTACTTCAAGTACGGTAGTAATCAGAGATTTTACATTTATATTCTTTTTTTTCCCAGTCTCAGGGTGAAAAAGCACAGAATTTCCTGTTTATTGAGACTTGGGTTATAATATTATTATGGTTTTCTCAGAATTGTTCCTGGGAAACTGTTCATAAAAAGAAGCAGTTCCAGTGTGACTGTCTGTTAACAAAGAAATAAATAGCAAGGTGAAATAAAAGGGAATAAATAAAAAGGAAGGTCCTCATATATTTTTAAAGACGTGCAATAGGTTGCCATAGCAACAGCCAAACAGGAATTCCAGGATAGGTTTTGACATTCTTACTATTATTATATCATTATATTTTTGTATCATAAATATGGATCCAAACTATTTTTGTTCCTGGGAAAACTCTTTTGAGAGTCGGTCTTATGAGAAAAAATATATATTTTTGAGCTAATATGAAAGAACCATCATGAGTCTCATGTTACCCACAGAAGGTCTACATTTCTTTCTTGATGCAATCAGTTCACACGTTCAGTGCAGAGAGAGAACCCAAGATTGAGGCATTGCTGGGCTGATTTCCCCCCTCCCCTGCTCCAAATATGGAACTAATTTTTTTTGACAATTTTACAGTTAGTCCTTGGCATATGACCATGAAGATGTCCTTGGAAAAAGTGACTTATAACCCTTCCCCTGGAGTTACAACCATTGCATCATCCCCTCTGATCACATGGTCGCAATTTAGCCACTTGGCAATTGGCGTTCTGTCCCAGCAAAATGTCCCAAAAGCAAAGGCAAACAAAACACGATGCAAATGGAGAATTGTTCACAAGCAAGGCAAACAAAACAGGATTCCATGAAACTTGAGCCTTCAGCAACCAGCACCGCCCATACCTTCCCTTTTTATTATGCAGCCCCGAGGTGTGGCTTCTCAATGCCTTCTCCTCCTCCTTTGGAGCTGCCCCATTGCCTCCCTCTGTCCTGCTCTTGTTGCCTGTCTGTGTTTGCGAGCGTCTATGATGTCTTCAAGCTGTGAATCCTCAGAGTCTGACTCAGCTTCCCCACACAGCTGAGTCTCAGCCTGAGCATGATTGGAGAGGCTAGGCTCTTCATCAGATTGTAAGTCCTGGAGCTCATCAGAGCCTTCTTCCGACTCTGATAGCTCTCCAGGCCCCTCCTCCTCCTCCTCCTCCCTCCTCCTCTGCTTCCCTGGACTCAGCTGCCAGGTCCAGTGACTGGCACGGACTCACAATAATTGTCTTACATTTATGTCAGTTGCATCTTGTGGTGGTCACATCCTGCAGCCGCAAGCAAAGTCAATCGGGGAAGCTGGGTGTGCTGAACAACTGCATCATGTACTTAACTGCCATGTGATGCACTGAGACAATCGTAATGATTTGTTTAAAGACCATGGTAAAAATGGTTATAAAATTGGATTGAGTCATGTGATGACTCACTTAACAACCACATTGCTCAGCAACTGAAATTCCTGTCCCAATTGTGGTCATAAGCTGAAGACTACATTTGCACTGAATTCGCTGTGTTTAAATACAGCTGTAGTGTTAGAAGTCTTTAGCAGTGGCATTTCCAGAAATTCTTCCAAGAATAGATCTTTAAGGGTCTAGGACAGGGGTAGGCAACCTTGGCTCTTTTATGACTCGTGGACTTCAACTCCCAGAATTCCTGAACCAGCTATGCTGGCTAAGGAATTCTGGGAGTTGAAGTCCATGAGTCATAAAAGAGCCAAGATTGCCTACCCCTGGTCTAGGATGACTCACAGCAGCCAAGATGGCACGGCTGAGTCGGTGTGGATAGGTGGACCTGACTGGGTGGGTGCATCCATCCATGCCCACTTAGCCACGCTGACCAAGCCACACACCCCCAGCTGCACCCATCCATCCATGTCTACCTGGCCACTGTGAGTCATCCCATTCGGGATCTTTAAGGCTCCACCGCAAATGAAGGGAGAAAATCTGCCCACTGATAGGTATAAAATAGGCCTTCCAGATCTCTTCCTGGGATCTCAGCTTTCTAGCTTCATTACCTGTCTACAATGTCTACATATAGCTGTCCCCTCAGGTGGTTTGCCATTATGTCATTGCCTGTAGTTTTGATATGTCTAAGAACGCTGTGCACTAAATAATCACAATTCTTCACTCAGTACAGTTAGCTAAGATACATAGCGTAAACGAAGTTGTCATGGAAAGCTGGATTCAGAATAGCACTGTTTTACCTCTGGCTCCTGGTAGATTTCAGGGTCCATCTGAGGGCTTATGAATGGAAAGAGGCAAAGCCTATCTCCTTTCCTCAGGTGATACTCTCTGCCAGCTGCCATTCTCAGGGCCATGTCTTGAAGGACCTCTCGGCTGATAAAAGGAGCTGCTGTCAAACGCAGGGTTTCATTCAAAGCACTGTCTGTACAAACAGAAAACCCACAGGGAAAAGTATGGCACCCAAAATAGCACTAGAGCAAAGGTGTGGGTGGGCTGTCATGACATCAATGTGCAGGGAAGATGATAGCTCAATTTACAATTGCAATTGCCACTCGAGCTCTCATTTGCCAAATCCTTCAGAAACAGGACCGGCAATGAAGGAAGTATAATAAGAACTCTTATCCTAACTTCGGGGCTCTAAGGCAGTGTTTCCCAATCTTGACAATTTTAAGGCATGTGGACTTCAACTCCCAGAATTCCACAGCCAGCATTGCTGGCTGTGGAATTCTGGGAGTTGAAGTCCACATGCCTTAAAATTGTCAAGATTGGGAAACACTGCTCTAAGGAAACAAGCCAGAATATAATTCTGCGATTGCTGCTTCTTACTGCCAACTAGTCCTGCCTTAGGCACGAAAACTGGCTGGGTGACTTTGGAGAGCTCACTCTCTCTCAGACAACTTACCTCACAGGGTTGTTGTGATTTGTTTTATGCATTTCTTATATGTATACCAAGAGTGTAATCGGATGATACGTCTGGAAGCAGTGCAATATTTCTGATACTGCAGCAGGGCGGAATGAACATAAGAAAAAAAAAACTTTCTATACAAAGCGAACCAGCAGAGGGCAAAGAAAATGCTGCAATTTTTTTTACCCGATCAGCTATTTTTTATGTTGGGAATTTTTCCATGGAGAACGGGCAGTTTCCAACCATACAGTTCAATCACACCTTCACCATGTGATGTGATGATATGTGTTTGTATGAGAGGTAACACTTTTTTCTATATACCTATGGTTGAGACTTAATATTAAGATGCTAATAACATGGAACTTATTTTAGCCTTTGATTTTAACAGGATTACTGGTGATTTCTTTTTGTATTTATAAAGGGATTTTGTGAGGCATATGCTGATCTTTAGCAGGAAGGTTACAATCAAAATGCTTTACTGCTGGTTTTAGTAGCAGTTCTGAATACAGATCATCAGCATTTTCTTAAAGGAGAAGAGACTGGGGCAAAGAAATTATAGGAAGCTGAAAGTTAAATGTCATGATTTGAAATTACAATTATGTCTAAAAAGTCGTCTACTGAAAGGTCACCATGTCCTTTCAGAAGTTCACTTACTACATTTTGAAAGTGCTTTTTGCAAATCTCAGACTAGGGATGTGAGAAATGTGAGAAAGAGGCACAGTGGTAGCAGAAGACCTTGAAAGTTAGATGAAACATACTGAACATTTTAAATTTAACCTGAAAGCAGGAGATACAGCTTTTACTCTGATTGGGTTTTGACACTGCAATACCTTGGTAGCTGATTAAGTTTATAATAATAATAATAATAATAATAATAATAATAATAATAATAATAATAAAAAACCCTTTATTATCAAAGTATAACATGTATACATTGAAATTGGCTGAGCCTCCCTCTGTGCCGCCCCTCACCACAAACTCACGGTGACTACAACCCCCCCCCCACTTATTTCACCCTGTGAACTAATTGCACATCACGCCGGCCTCACAAGTCTGTTATGCATAAAGTTATAAAGTTATGTCCCATTCAGAAGCCTGACAGCCCATGGATATAAGCTGTTCTTCAGCCTGTTGGTACGGCTGGCTATGTTTCTGTATCTCCTACCCGATGGTAGGAGAGTAAAAAGGTACCAACCAGGGTGTGAGTCATCCCTGAGAATTTTCCTCACTCTGCCAAGGCAACGGGCCCTGGCAATGTCATCCAGTGGAGTCAGAGAACAGCCCACGATGTCTTGTGCCATGCTCACCACCCTCTGCAATACCTTCCTGTTCGCAGCTGTCAGGCCAGCATACCAAACCACAATACAATATGTGAGAACACTTTCAATAATAGACCGGTAGAAGAAGGTCATGAGTTGTCGTTCTACCCTGTTCTTCTGCAAAACCCTGAGGAAGTGGAGTCTCTGTTGGGCCTTTCTGGCCACCTGGGCTGTATTAGTTTTCCAGGTGAGATCTTCACAGAGGTAGACTCCCAGGAATTAGAAGGAGGAAACTCTCTCCACACAGTCCCCTCCGATGTAAAGTGGGGCACGTTCCTCTCTTTTCCTCCGGAAGTCTAGCACCATCTCCGTCTTGCCAATGTTCAGGTGCAGGTTGTTCTCTAGGCACCATGAGGATAGTTTTTGTACCTCCCTCCTGTAAGCTGTCTCATTTCCACCTGTAATGAGACCCACCACGGTGGTATCATCTGCGAACTTGATGATTGCAGTGGATGGGTCGGATGATACACAATCATATGTGTACAATGAGTACAGTAGGGGCTAAGCACGCAGCCCTGTGGCGAGCCAGTGCCAAGCTTCAGGGGGGTGGATAAGACAGACCCAACCCTCACTGTTTGTAGCCGATCACAAATAGAGGGATGGAATTTCAAGTCAGTCAGCTTTTCAATAAGAATAGCCAGCAGAATAGAATTAAAAACCGAACTATAATCAGTGAAAAGCATCCTGACATAACTTCCAGGTTTCTCCAGATGACTTGCTACCGAATGTAAAGCGGTAGCTATGGCATCATCTGTCGACCTATTTCCCCTGTAGGCAAACTGGTGTTTATCAAAATCCGGTGGGAGGCATATCCTAAGATGTTGGAGAACCAATCTCTCAAAGCATTTCATCACTACAGACGTTAGTGCAATAGGTCTGTAGTCATTTAGGCAACCGATTGCTGTTTTCTTTGGAACTGGGACTATAGTAGCTGCTTTCAAGCATGATGGTACAAGCAAGATGTGATTGTATGACACCATACAATCACATGCATAAGCCCCAATTGACCATGCAGCCCAATCCTCAATAGACCAGATTATAATTAAGATAGTTCTCTTTAATGAACATCTGCAATTTTGGCTTATTGTAAATTAACTCAATTTAACCCTCGAATGGGTTCTCTACACCTGTACTAATAGCTAATTTATGGTTAACAGCCACTATTAAGGGTGCAGGAACAGCCATAAACAGGATAAGAGAATATTCTTTAAAAAACAAAACAAAACAAGGGTTTTGTTTAACAACGGTTAAATATTGGCTACTGAAAAAATTGTTGGGGTGCCTGGTTTATACAGCAAGGGAAACAAAGGCAGCTATTGGACTGGTTAACTTGACTGTCTGTGAACCAAATGGAAAGTTAGTCCCCAACTATAATGTAAAGTACGTCTACAATAATGGGATCCATAAATAACTCCGTTATATCCTATGCAGAGGTGCTTTCCCTGCCCAAGACAGTTCTCATTTCAAGGTCATCTTGGAAGGGAGATTTTACTCGATTTGGGGGGGGATTTTCTCTCAAACTTTGCCAATCCTGAATTTGAAAGACACTGAATCCAGACACATATTCCTGTCTTCCTCAGTCTAGGGTGATTATAGCCACATGTTTACCAAGATAAAAAGACTGGATATAACATGGAGACAGCTAAAGGGAAAATCTGATATTCGCTGTGCTTTAAGTAAAAAAAAATCAAAGAGACAGACAGGATAGTGTAAGAATCTTTCCCAGATCCAGTGATGACAGTGGTAAATATTTAACTGACACTTATGGAATTAAATTGCTCAGGGCTAGATGAATGACACGTTACTAACCGAAAATGGGTGTGCTATCCAAAACGTCTTGACTGATTATCTCACAAATTGGCCTGGTTGTTAATCGTCTGTTTCTAAATAGTTTTTCTATTTCAGCTTCAACTGCTGCCATGGCTGGAGGATGTTTCAAAAGAAACAGGAGAAGCCAAAAAACTGCTGGACCAGCATTACTCTAAAAATGAAAAGAAACAACAAAGGAATCAGACTGTTTTTTCTTAAATGCCAGAGAACACAAATAGAACTTTATCACAAAGCAGCAAAATCTGATCCAATTTAAATATCCTTTCAGTTAAAATCAAAAGGGTCTGTTTCACCTTCAATAAGAAAGTTCCACATTCGCAGTTTGGTAAATGAACAGGGTGGCCTTAGAAGGACTGCCTTGAAAAGCTGAGAAATAACCTAAGCCTTCTGCAGTGTTAATGATACTATGCCTGGAACTAATTGGCTGCTTTAGAAAACTGAGGAATCTCATAGTACCTAATATACTAATATAACAATATACTCAACCTGGCCTTTAGTTGCTGCTACTGAATGCCAGATCAGTCTGTAATAAGGTTTCCCTCATCCACAATTTAAATATGGATGAGATGGCAAACCAGACATGTATTACCAAGACCTGGTTGGGTCCTGAAGCATGGGTTGCCTGTACTGAAATTTGCCCAGCTGGGTTTTGATGTGGCATCAACCAAGACTCTGGGATAGGGGTTGATTTGTGACAATTGTTATCAGGGAATCTCTTCTGACTTCAGGGGTGTGCCCTATAAGTCCCCAGTTGTAAGATTCAGTTCATTTAAGTTGGGCTCTAGGGATCAGTTGGGATTGTTGCTGTTGTATCAACCTCCATGCTGCATAGCAACTTCTCTGCCTTGACTCCATTTTCCGGTGGAGGTCCCCAGACTTATGGCTCTAAGGTTAATCTCCCTTCTCTTAGAATGGTGTCTGAATGGCTTTGAAGTTCATGGCTTCCATAATAGACTTGGGCCTATCCCAGGCGATCCAGAGCCTGACTCAGGACAATGGTCACATTCTAGATTTGGTGTTCCTATTGGAGCAGTGGCAATGTGATCTGAAATGGCAGGAGCCTGAGCTACCCCCTTTTTTGTAGTTGGATCATATTACGATTTCTTGGGATTCTCCTTTGTCATGACCTACCACAGGGAGGGTGAACCATCTGAAACCTTGACTGCCACTTGCAATAAGGGGATGACTGAGACATTGGATCGGATTGTTCCTGTGGAGCCTCTCCCTTCTCAGGAATCCCAGTACTCCCCATGATTTGAAGGAGAATTAAGAGACATACTGAAATTGAAGAGCTTCCCAAATTATCACTGCACTTTAACCCCAAATTTTAACCTACTGGTCATTCAGTGTTTAGATGAAATATTCTAGTCCTGAAACCTTTCAAAAAGTTAAAGGAGGTCTTTTTCTACTCAGTTCATCCTCAACACCCTGACCCTACTTGGCCATTTGTAGTGGACACTAGTACTTCTGATTTTGCAGAAAGACATTTTAGCTATAAGATGCAGCAAAAACACAGACCCATGCTTATTTCTCAAGAAAATTAAACTCATTAGAACAGCACTATACTATCCAGGATGAGGACTGCAAAGGTTGGCATTTACTAGGTGGAGAAATGCTGGGGAAATCTGAACATAATAACCTGGAATGCCTGCAGACTATTCACTAGTTAAATCAATGACAGGGCTAGTGGTCTCCGTTTTTTCTCTTGGGTTAGTTTTGAGATGATTTATATGCCTAGCACTGAGAAAAAAAATGTACAGATATTTGGCCTGGAAACTGTAATAATAATAGAAGTGCCCTTCCTGAGAATTTTGCATTGTGACACCTCCAATCCATTAATAAACTGGGCTGAAGAGCAGTTGTTGGGGAACCCTCATGCATCCTTAGGTTATATAAAAACTCAGAATATACTTAATGTTCGTTTTCCCCAGTAACTGTATTTCTTCTGTTCTTCAATACTGAGACTACTGTTATATTTCCCCTGGTAACTTAAAAAATTAATAGGACAGTTCATTTTGGATACTAACATATTTCATGTGGTCCTGAGATGCTTCTAGTGGCCACAATTTAGAACAAAAGTAAAAATAAAAAGGAACTTCTTGCATAGTCTGTTAGATGTTAAGTATGCCTCTCCCATTATAAACCTGTCTGGCTATTAAAACCTGCAGATTTCATGAAGATGTCTCTACTGTCACAGTCATTACTCCAAGGAGTTGCATTTGATTTTCATGTTCTTGGTATTTTCAAAATCTGCCATTTTCCCCTAAAGAATGAGGGTAAAATAGCAGAGACCAAAGTATTTGATTGTCCGGTTTTTAATTTGTATTACTTTTCAAACTTATCCATTTAGTTCTGTCTTCTAGGCATTCAATGGCATTTTGAAGGCGACCTATGTGAGGGCTAAATATATGTGCTATTTAGAGGTCTTTTTTATAGTATTGGTCATCCTTATGTACATAAGATCTTTTCTCAGTTCAGATGAAAATGACACCAGCAGGAAGATGGTTAGAGTCCCTCTATGATAGCCTCCAGAAGCTGTGAATGCTCCAACACTGGAAGTTTTTAAGAAGAGACTGGACAGCCAGTTGTCTGAAATGGTATAGGGCTGTGGTGGCAAACCTATGGCACGCGTGCCACAGGTGGCACACAGAGCCCTCTCTGTGGGCATGTGCGTTGTCACCCCAGTCTTAGGCCTTCAGCTGGGTTTTATAAAATCTTTTTGCTTTAGGCCTCCGCTGCCGTGTGCAAAAAAAAAAGGTTGAATCGATCAATCAATTTCAACTTCTTGCGGGAAAAAAGATCTCGCAAAGTTGGAATTGATTGATTGAACTTTTTAGTCCCGCCCAATCTGCCGTTACTACCTAAGCCACGGCCACCAATGGGCCACGGCCACCCAATGGGCCACACCCACCAATGGGACACGCCCATCCAGCACCCGATGATACGTGTGTTTTGGGTTGCAGTTTGGGCACTCGGTCTTTAAAAGGTTCGCCATCACTGGTATAGGGTTTCCTGCCTGAGCAGGAGGTTGGACTAAATGACCTCCAAGGTCCCTTCCAACATTATTATTATTACATGTTTGTTTCATTGCTTGGGTTAGCCATTTTGTTACTGGTATTGTTATATGCTTTTTGTTTATTCTTTTAATTTGTTTTTATATTAAGGGCCACCTTCTAGGGAAAATGGGGAGCATAAAAAAACTTTATAAACAAACGAAGACTGGAGTCCTTTCCCACCGCTGCATCTCATGAGAATGTTCTTATTTCAGAATCTAAGAAACAGAAAACAGGAAGCCCCAGCACTTCCTATTGTTCTCCGCTTGCTTATTAAAATTGAGATGATTAAGCGAAATGCAATAGAGCACTATTGTTGATAGCAAGTACATCAAGAGTACATTAAATCCAATAGAGAGAAGTGCAAAGAATAAATAATGCATGCTGATTTTGAAAGGGGGAAATGCAAGATTTTGTTTTTGCTTGGGTCTTTTAGAAGGATGGCTGCTCTTTTAATTAAAGTGCAGGCATTAAAATTGGGATGGAGGCGAGAGAATCAAAGTGCATCCATGCTTTTAATTATTAAACATGATGACCAAATGGATTTATTTATGTTGTAGGGAGGGAAAGTCTCTCTTGCCGCCTTGAAAACTGCATTCTAAAAATTCTTATCATCTCTTTTCTGTGTATAAGAACCGAAGCATGGAGTGTCTTCGGGAGCAGATTTGCTAACAAAAGTCAGGATAATTATATGAGAGAGACAGGAAATCTAATATTTTAGAGTAGTGTTTCCAATTATATGCTGAGAAACAAAGGGACCCCTTGGGAAGCAATTAGTAATAGTCTGGACATAACAAATACCTTAAATCTGGCTGCTTGTACTTTTAGGTTAGTACCTCTACACTCTCTGCAGTAGCTTTTTTCCATCCTGTCTGGAACACAAAAGCATAGACCTGATCTGTGCACGCAATGTTTGTGCTCTATCTCTTGATTTAGTTTGTTCCATAAAGGTGTTCCTCGATGCTGGAAATCAGGATACTTTGAGTTAGGGACCTCTCTAGATCAGGGGTGTCAAACTTGCAACGTCACGTGACGTGTCGTGACTTTTTTTGCCATTGCCAGCAATGGGGTGGGCGCAGTTTCGCTATGATGCATCCGGCCTGCGGACCGGCAGTTTGACACCCCTGCCTTAGATGAAGATTGGAGAATCTGTGCCTCTCCAAATGTGGAAGAAATACAATTTTCTCATTTTTGATAACTGATAACTGTGACTTCATTGCCTGGATCACTTGGAATCCAATACTACGTCCTTGGCTCCCTTTTGCTCAAAGTATTTTGGCCATATGCTCTAGAAGACAGGCCTAGGTCATTGGACCTTTGAAGGACATCTCAGGGGCTACACTACAAAATGAGGTTTAGGGGTCTAAGTAAATTAAATATTAACAATATTAGTCATAATAAACTTATGTTTTTACAAATGCACCTCCAGCAATCCCCATCTCTCACTTTTCAGTTGATTAACCCTAAAATTAATTTAGAAAAATGAAAGCAAAATAATTTTTAAAAAATTCTCTACCTATGGGTTTGTTTGTTTTTTGTGCCTTTGAGTTATTGTTGACTCCTGGTGACTGCATGGACTAGTGTCCGCAGTTTTCTTGGCAAGATTTTGGAATTGGTTTGTCACTGCCTCCTTCCTAGGGCTAAAAGAAAGTGTCTAGCCCAAGGTCACCCAGTTGGTTTTGTTTTTAAAGATGGACAAAAATTCATGGTCTCTCTGTTTCTAGGCTAGTGCCCTAACCATTACACCAAACTGGCTCTCTGTTCCTACATATACTCTCCCATATAGACAAAAGAGAAGATGGCAGGATAGGAAGGGAATGAAAAACACTACTGATGGTATTGCTGGGGATGGGGCGGGGGGGGGGGAGAATGGACCTGCACTTTAAAAACATGTGCTAAAGAACAAGAAACAGATCTTTCATAAAACGTCAGAGTACTGATCCATTTCAGTGGTGGGATTCATATATGTGAACAACCAGTTCTCTGTGTGGATGCCGCTTCTGGCAATCCATTCTGGGCCCGGGCAACAAAAAAATAGCTACTGGTTCTGCTGAAGTGGTGCAAACTGACTGAATCCCACCACTGCACTAAAGTCATAAAGAACTGCAACTGGAAGATTTTATATATAACAGTACTCTACTCTAATCTACTTTCCATTATGATTATAATACTATTATCATTATTATAACAATTTTATTTTCAATCTTTCTTCCTGCTGGAGAAATAAACCAATTTACTGTACACATCCTGTCTCTATACTGCAGCCTATCTTTCAACTATACCCCCTGTTCAGAGAGAATTAGTTCTGATCTAATTCTGCTTTGCTTCAGCTTTGCCATCTGCAGCATGCAGGCATCTTTTCTAGATGAGATATGGGTTAAACAACAGCTTGCCCAACCTGTTTTACATGAATTACCGCAGTGTTTTTCAAACTTGGCAAATTTGAGATGTGTTTGCTGGCTAGAGAATTCTAGGACTTGAAGTCCACACATCTTTAAAGTGCCAGGTTTGAAAAACCCTGAATGGAGCATCTCTCATTACAGTATGCTGTGTTCAACTTTTCTAAAACTGAAGGTAGAAAATAGGAGTTAGCTGACTGAAACCAAACATTGAAACAAAAAAAAAATGCAATTATTGCTATAGAAACTCATATATTTTCTGAGTTTACTTATGATACGTGTGGCAGTCAAAGGAAGGTAATTCCAAAAGGGTCAGGAAAAAAAAATCAATCCTCTATTTTTTTTTTTAGGGGGTCATACTTTCAATCATGTAAATCCAATTCCAACAATCTACATGCAGATGGATAGATTTTCCATACAGGGATCCCTTTCCCAACCATATCTTGAATACATCAAAGGAAGATGTAAACACAAAGTCCACTATTGGAGATGTTGGCAGGCACACTATTGCTTCTCCCAATCGAAGACTGACACTGTACAAACATTAATAGTATTTGGAGTAGTATACACATGGAGGTTGTTTTTTTTTAAATAAATCAGGGTATCTGTCATCAATGACAATCAATAAATGAGGAACCATTTTGCCCCTCAAGACCATCAAGCTTCCCACTCAGGCACCTTTTTTCAGATACACAGAGAGACCTCATCCTATTTTCTCCTTTGCCCACTCCTTCATCCCTTCCAACACCCCACTAAAGATCCCCAGCTGGCAGAGATAAAAGTACATTATTTCCTGCCCCAAAGGTTCTTTTTTCAAAAGGCAACTGGACTTTTTTGGGGTTTTTTCCCCTTGAAAACGTTTCACTTCTCATCCCATTTGAAGAATCTTAGATGAGGAGCGAAAAGTTTTCAAGGAAAAAAAACAAGAAAAGTCCAGTTGCCTTTATAAAAAGCACCTTTGAGACAACCATCACCTGGATGGTTGAGAAACTCCATAGACATTCTTTCCTGCCATTAGTGTCAATAAGAAACAAGTGGTCCATAATGCAAGACTGATATTAACATACAACATTTATATTTTCAATAGATTACGGGCCATAGGCATGTTTTTCTAACTCTACCCTTTGCGTATAAATAGTTCATGTAAGAGGATGGAACTTGAGATTGAGAAACCATAAAGAGAACGAAATACAGAAAGTAAAATTGCATTTTTACCTGAGTACTCCAGAGTTGCAGCACCATGGCTCTAGTCTGCATATCTTCATTCACACCAAGGTCTACCAAGTGTTCCTTATAGCTGTTCAGCCAAACACTTTGGTTCGCTCTGCTGTCCAGTCTTTCCATAGAAAAAAAATTCCAGAGATCCTTCCTGGTGTTGTAAAATTTCAACTTTTCCCCTGTATAGAGAAACACCAAAGATATAAATATGGACAATAGGTAATTACTATTGGAGGCCTTCCTCCAATAAATCAGAAGGCCTATCTTATTTTATCTTGAGAACAACCATTTAAAGCAGATATGCTCTCAAATTTTATTACATGTTTTATGAAAATACATTTATAATTTCCTTCCTTCCTTCCTTTGATCTGGCAAGGGCCTTTGGCGCTCTTACTGAAGAGGGATAGTAAGAAATGAAAGTAGCTTTCCATCATGCTACCAGGTGAATTTCATGGATGAGCAAGAATTCGATCCTCAAAGCCAAACATTATGTCTGAGTTTTTAGCTTGGTTCACTCAGGAAGTATTTATTTTTGGGTCTTGTATGCCTTAATTACATTACATCTAGTAGGTATCAGGCTGAGAAAGACTATTCTATGGATTAGATCAGGGGTCAAGAAGTCAGAGGAAGAAAGAGAGAAAAGGGAGAGATGGAAGGGCAAGCAAGCAAGCTGCATGTGATTAGTGAGGCAGATGCTGTTGCTTACCAACCTGGGACCACTGATAGGAAGTATAGTGGCTTCTACAGCATCTCTTACAGACATTCATTAACAGAACTGGTGCATACATAAGTTTATTTCTTCACTCTCTACAAGCTGTACTCCACAGGTAAGTTGTTGTGGGAAGTACAATTATTAAATGTGCTTATTTTTATTATATAATTATTTATAATTATAATTACTTGTGCTGGATGTTTATGTGTTTGCTTGAGAAGGTGCTGCAATAATTGATTAATGTCAATAGACATTTATGCATGGTTTGGCTGTACATTATTTATCTCCCCTTAATAACACAGTCTATGGCAGTGGAGGCGAACCTATAACACGCATGCCAGAGGCGGCACTCAGAGCCCTCTCTGTGGGCACATGCACCACCACCACTAGCAGCTCACACAGGTCCATGAGGTCGCCACCGCTGCCTAGAGCAGCAGCCCCACCCAGCACAAAGCAGGCAAATGGCCAGCTAGCAAGCTCGAGTAGAGGTGTTAGAGCATCGAGGTGGCCATGCCTACCTGTCCACCCCACCCAGTCTGCTGTGACCACCCTGGCCACGCCCACCCAGTGGGCCACACACCCCGCCCTTCCTGATGGAACCACAATGCTGATATGGCCCTGGCACTTTGCAATAAATAAGTGGGTTTTGGGTTGCGGTTTGGGCACTTGGTCTCTAAAAAGTTTCGCCATCACTGGTCTATAGGAAGTCCTTGCAGTTTGCATGGAAGATTTCAGAAGTGAGTTGCCATTGCTTGCTTCCAGACAGTTGTGGTTTTTTTTTTGCCTAAGGCAGGACCAGAATTTCCCATGTTCTAGATTCTAGCCTTATGCTTCATCCACTACACCAATCTAGCTCTCACTGAGGCATATCTACTCAGAAGTAATTTCAACTTCTCAGAAATTAGAGATAGGAGTGCAGCCTAAGAGATACCAGCCTCAGGATGGTCCATCTCAGCTTTTCAAAATGTATGCACTCTGTTATCGAACAAGATATATGTACTAGAAGACTAGACTAGAAGACCCCAACGCCCTTCCAACCCTATTTTTCTATGTTTCATGTTCTAGCTCTCATTAGGTATTTTTCAGTCTTAAGGGTGAAACAAATTGCAGGTAGGTCTTAGCCAACTGTGGGTGCAGATTCAGAGCTCTGCAGGTCAGAAGACCTTGAAATGATCACCATTCAGGGGAAATGGCAAGCCATAATACATTAGGTTCTGCATTTGAGTAATTTCTGCAGCAATGACAGCAATCATTTTAAGATACTTATTTTATCACAAAGCAATGATAGAAGAGAGTTCAGGTTGAGGAATGAAAAGGCACATCAAGATTTGAAAAGTATAAGGTTCTACTTAGCGGTATTTTTTTCTTCTTTGAAATACTTTTACCAATTTAAACACTGGCAAGGAAAAGAATTCTGCTTATTTTGTAAGTTTGGACAGAAAACACTGACAGAATCGTTATAAAATTATCCTATTATCTCATCCTGCAAAATGAGGAAAGCTGGATGGACCTATCCATTTGAACTGCCTGTAATGAAGTGGATCTAAAAACTTACACAATGGTGCCATCTACTGTTTGTAACTTTCCTCTTGTAAATTCCTTCTTTCTAATAGGTTGATAGTAGCATTTGAACGATAGTTGCTAACAGTCTTTCAGGAAGAAAAAGCAACACCAACAATAATAAGAACATTGCTACATTACCTCTTTTATGTGGTTGCATTTATATTATTAATGAATCACTTTTACTTGGTGGTTTTATACTGTTTTTTTGCTTGTTTTGTTCCTGGGAAAATCTCTTTAATAGAGAAGCAGCAGCTATACCTATTAGAATATTAGGTATAATATAAATGTAAAAATGTATTCAAACATGGACCTCTATCTGTCTGTCTGTCTGTCTTCTCTCTGTGTCTCTCCCTCTGCCTACCTACCTTTCTCACAATGTATCCCAACTGAACTTTTGGGGGTGGGTAATGGATTGACACCATGTTCTTCCAAAGGCAGATATATCCAACTGAAAAATCAATAATCTGTACCAAAAATCCCCTTTATCATTTGAAATAGCTCTCAGAATGATCACATTACTTAAATTCACTACAGATACAGATCATTAGAGGTATTTCTATATAACATATGTTTCAGATACATCTTCTGAAGTGAACTATGAACAATCTGTCAATCTGCTGATACATCATTGTTCTATTTTTTAAAAAGACTTTTATGAATAACTCAACCCTGTGAGGTGGTTTGCGTTGAGATAGAATGATTTGCCCTTGGTTACCAAATGGCTTTCATGCCTAAGGTGGGACTAGAACTCACTGTCTCCTGGTTTCCATTTCTCTAATTATTAATCCAATTCTTAATTACTAATGGAAACTAACCAAAGAAGCAACCTATAACAAAGGAGAAACTTCCTAACAGTTAGAAAAATCAGCTAGCGGAACAACCTGCCTCCAGAAGCTCTGAATGCTCCAACACTGGAAGTTTTTAAGAAGAGATTGGACAGCCATTTGTCTGAAATGGTATAGGGTTTCCTGCCTGAGCATGGGGTTGGACTAGATGACCTCCAAAGTCCCTTCCAACTCTATTATTGTTGTTGTTGTTGTGGTTATTATCAGTATTTGCTCATAATTAACTATTAATATTTTTATACACATATTACTCTAAAAACTAAAGATTGCATTTAATTAAATTATAGTTACATTTAAATAAGAAGTGCAAACACATTACAGATATGTAATATAGTTCTGGTTTCGATTCTAAGAAGTAAATTCACTTTAGTCTAGGTTTCAAAGCATTGGCGTTTTAAAAGCAGTATTTCTTTACCAATGACACTCACCTGCACTTAAAGTTGACCGGGCAGCTTTCATCAAAAATCGGTCTAATTTATAATATGCATTATAAACTTCCATTGAATGAGTTCGATCTTTATCTTGACTATTAATATCTTCATAATTCTTGCTTTCATTTCCATACAATGTCAGGAATCCAGCTCTGCAGAGTTAGGAAGGGAAGGGACTAAAACAATTATTTAAAAATACCATTATACCATATATTATAAATATCATAGAGTTGGGATTACAACATAATGCTAAACAACCTCCTCTATTGAAGACATAACCAGTCATCCTATCAACTAAGGGAAAGTCCCTCTTTCTTCTCTCTCAGTCTGAGTACAGTTGCTTGAAGCTAGAGCAGGGGTATCCAATCCCTGGGCTGCGAACTGGTACTGGTCTTTGGCCTGTCAGGACCAAGCCAAACAGCTGGAGGTGAGTGGCAGGCATGCAAAACTATCCATGCGCGGGAAGTAGGTGGTGCACTCCTTCCCCCCGCTCCCTGGTCCGTGGAAAAATTATCTTGCACAAAACCAGTGCCTGGTCTCCCAAAAAGGTTGGGGACTGCTGAACTAGAGATAGGGTTTCTAACCATAGACGTAGTAGGGCTTCTGTCCTAAAGCCCTTACCCAAATACTTTTTGGCTTACTTAATGAAGAATGTTAAACTGAAATCTTGGGCTGGGTTCGTTTCTGAACCTTGCATTAAAGAAAGCACTTCCTCTTGCAAAAGAAGCAGTGCCGTGTTTATTTGTCAACATTTATATCTTTGAAAGCTGTTCTTGGTGGCTAAGAGACTCCAAATAGCAGGAGACTCAGCATGGTTGAACAACTGCACCCTAAGGATGTATGTCAATGATTCTATATCACTACATCAAGAGGCACACAACACATCTCCAGTCTTGGCCCTGGATTGTTCAACACATGTATAAAAGATTTGATCAAGGCTTAGAACAGTGTTTCTCAACCTTGACAATTTTAAGGCATGTGGACTTCAACTCCCAGAATTCCACAGCCAGCAATGCTGGCTGTGGAATTTTGGGAGTTGAAGTCCACATGCCTTAAAATTGTCAAGGTTGTGAAACACTGGCTTAGAAAGTATCAACTTTGCAAAATATCAAATATCTACAGATATTTCCAGAAATATGGAAAGCAAAGTCCTTAGGGGAAGTGTCAGGGTTCTGGATGATCCAGATGAGCTAGAATAATAGCTAGAAAGCAGAAAGATGAATTTCAAAACAAATACAGATTTTTTCATTTAGTTAGGAAACAGAATACGATAGTATGGTATCCAATATGGTCAACAGTACTTGCAAAAGAGTTTTGGGTAGCCTAGTGTGTCACAAGCTGATTATGACCCAACAATGTGGTGATACAAAAAAAAGGAGGGGGGGAATGAAATCTTATTTCTGTTTTAACAAAAATATAGCCCCAGGATCAAGAAAATGTATCATTCCTCTCTATTCAGCAGTGATCAAACCACATATAGAATGTTGTGTCTACTGCTGGGCACTATATTTTAGGAAGGGCCATGGATCCATCCATCCATCCATCTATCTAATTTATTGGCCACTCATCTTACCATAGGGTAATTTTACCACAGGATAATTTTAAAAATCATAAAGCATCAGTTAAAACATAAAACATTAAAACAACAAAAACTATCTATGTTAATGTGCCAAGTGTGTCCACAGGAAAACAAACAATATGATAAGGAACCCAGAAATTTTGAATGATCTTGGATCTATTTAGCTGTCTTCAGGAAGACATAATAGTAATTTTCAAATATCTGAAATGATGCCAGGCAGAATTGTTCATAAAAGAGGACAAGAATAATAGATTTAAATTACAGAGAAGTAGGTCTCAAGAATTTTTTTTTTTCTCATTCTAAAAGCTGTAGTTGGGTACAGGTCTTGGTAGTTAACAATGAAATCTACAGTCAGTTTGGGACAAGATTGTGTATGGAAACTGAATCCTACATTCTGAAACGTGCTCATGGTAGTTCTTTGGTCCCCTACAGGCCTAAAATGTTCAGCTGGTATTTGACTGTTGCTTTTTCATGACATTTCCTGTGCATGTTACATAAAGTTCATTCACGTGCAGCAATTCAATAAGCCCTTTAATCAACATTCTGCAGCTTGGTAGCTCCATTGTGTGAGAGGAGATCTTTGAAAGATTGAATATAAGAGAACTTGGTTTCCATTTCTTTGTTTAAGGAAAAGATGCAGAACCAGGGGAGCCAAATGAGCTCATTGGAACTCCCTACCTTGTTCTGCTTTTGTCAGTTTCTTTGTTTTTATACTTTGACCACGTGTAGACATTGAGGCAGTAAGCAACGCAAGTAGGAGCCGTGCCACATTTCTTTTTCCTCCCGGCACTACTCCATTGTTTAACTCAGAAAGGAGAACAAGCACAGGTGGTCCTTGACTTATGACCACAACTGAGCCCCAAATTTCTGTTGCTAAACTCAAGTTGTCAAGTGAATTTTACCCCATTTACGCTCTTTCTTGCCACAATTGTTAAGTGAATCACTGCAGTTGTGAAGTTAGTAATACAGTTGCTATATGAATCTGGCTTCCCCATCGACTTTGTCTGAAGGTCACAAAAGGGATCACATGACCTCCCAGACACAGTAACTGTCATAAATATGAAACAGTTTGCGAAGCGTCTGAATTTTTATCATGTGACCATGGAGATGCTGCAATGGTTATAAGTGTAAAAAATGGTCATTGTAACTTCAAGCGATCACTAAAATAACTGTTGTAAGTTGAGGATTGCCTGTAGTGGAACAGAGGAACAGGAAAAGTCAAGAAGTCAAGAAGGCTGAAAAGTTGGTCTTCGATCCCTCATCGGAGGTCCTGTTGGAGGTCCTCTCAATCATTCATACTGAACCCAAGCAGACCTCCTTGGAAACTTGTTTAAGACTTACAAATGTGTCTTGTTAGTTTTTAACACTTGAGAAGTTGTCAAAAAATGTGTAAAGGAGTATCAAATGTATATTGGAAATGCAAATGCAAAGAGGGTATTTTTTTAAATCATTTCTGGTGAGCTTATGATAAAGCATACTGGGATCAAGCTTCTACTTCAATTCAGAAGATTTCTTAAAATAAATATAAATAATGAAAACAGAATTTTTCCTTGTTAGGTTTGATGGTTAAGGAATTTCAATGAAAATTCAGAACTTTGTTATTATATGTGTTGACAGCAGCAAAAAATCTAATATATACAAGAATGGAAAAAGATACTAATTCACTGTTTTAATTAAAGAAAAAGATTTATCTAGCTTTGTTTCTATTTGAAAACCACTTCTGGACTTTTTGCTCCAATCTGAAAAACACTGAAATTTTGATTTTAACTTTTCATGATTAGAATTATTTTGCAAGTATAGAAATGGTTTGAAATCTTGTGAAATGTAAAGCGAAAGATCAATGTTGTATTCTTTTTGTAATCTACTGCACAAAAAAAGTCAAAAATCATTATCTTTTTTCTCTCTTTGCACTTTTCTTTCTTTTTTCTGTTTTTCTAACTTTTGTTCTTATGTATTTTTATCTTACAATGAAACTTAATAAAAAATATTATAAGGGAGAATATTTATAGCTCAGGGTTAAAATGAGGGGTCCTTGGTGCTTTCTAACCTTCGTTGTTTTCTTGCAGGCGTTTCATTACCCAAACTAGGTGCTGCACTAGGTGCTGCACTAGGAACAGCATCACTGCTGCATTAGAGCACTGATGATGTTATCTAGTTACGTCTGCAAGAAAACACCCAAGCTCAGAGTACCAGGGACCTCTAATTTATTAGTTTTTTAAAAAGGACTTAGAAACATTACACTCACCTGAACATAGTGCTGTAGGAGAGCTGAAACAGACCTTCCTCTTTCCACTGCCTACCGGCGCAATCAGGGCCAGGAAGCAGAATGTTTTGTAAGTTAAGGCACATGGCCTTAGTCAGGCTGTCAAGATTTTTGTCCTTCAGAGTGCTAAAGAATAAAACACACAAGAATACTTTGTGAAACTCCTTTCTGCTTTCTGCGTGGATTCCCTGAACTGAGGTTTCTTAAATAAACCTTAGAAACTTGGCAGCTTAGCTAGAAGTTATTCTGAGTTTCTGATAGTCCGATTCAACAAAAACCTTGCCTGGGTGGAAAAAAGATAACATTTCTGCCTTATACAGAATTGATGAAAGATTTCCTTTGGGCAATCTCCATTGGGGCAACAAAGATTGCATTATAACTCAATGGGACTTAGTCCCAGGTATGTTTAGGATTGCAGTTTAAAATAATTTATGCAATGGGGTTTTATCAGTGATCTCAAGCCAGTAGCTCATTGGCTGCATTCAGCTTGGAAGTAGTTTTCTGCAAACCACAATACTTAGTTAAGTACTGATGCTGCTGCCTAGCAAAAACAGGAGTGTTACAAATCCATGCAAGCAGGGCCATGGGAAATGCTCAGGAAGAGGAACTTAGGAGTCCTAGATACAGTGGTAAAAGAAATCTGCCAAAAAACAATCTGATCCTCATAAGCAAACTCCAGTGTAGGATGGATGGTAGAAGCAAAAGGAGTCAGCTGGCACCCTCATCCTTTCCTGGAAAAGTTAATTAAGAAAAGTAGATCTTTGGGATAGTTCCATATAGAGTGTGCAATGTTCAGAAATTTGCAAATGAAAAGTGTATGTTTTGGGAAAGTTGTGTATAAAATCAACATAACTCCAGAATAGCATAGGGCCAGTTGATCTAAACGAAATGAACATTTGGATTGATAAATATCCTAAGCATAAATTACAGATAACCTTGTGTTCATTAAAGTACAAGAATGGATATATTGAGGAAAGGCAATTTTTTTGAACTTTGTTTTTTTAAATGGACTCACTACAAAAAAATAATTAATGGCACAACTTGGTTACATTTATACCAATCTCCATGTGTTACTTGTAGGTCTTCCCAAGTGCTGGATGCCCAATTGCCAGGTGCCGATACTAGTTCCGGATGAACTGTAGAGATGGCAAAACACTGCATGACATTTTGTGTTGCTTTTTGTGTTGTGTTGTGTTGCAGCATGTCATGAATGGGAACAAACTCATGGGGAAACTTTGACATACGTTGCTCCCAGTGCCATTCCATTCTAGACAAATCTTTGGATTGAATTTCATTTCATCCTCACAGCTGTTCCATGAAGGAGATCAGCTTATGAAATGAGGAGTGGCAGTGCCACTGAAAGTTCATTGCTAAAATGGGTCTTCATCATGTTTGGGGGATACTATGTTGGCTTAATGAACCAAAAATGTATCAGCTGCTCCCTGTATTGCTCCAGTAATATCCCAAGGGACCAGTTACAGTTGTTATTTCGGCATATCCAGGCAGCAGGAAATTTCTCAAGCTTTCACAAGGAATATGCATGGGAAAGTCATGCTCCCTGACATAATTCACTTGGACTTCCAATCTAACATCCTTAGTGACCCACAATTCTGAAATCCTTCCAATAAGAAAAATGATAGAAAATAATATTTGTAGCTCAATATTAGACGGTGGGGTCCTTGGTGCTCTCTGAGCTTGCTTGCTTTTTTTGCAAATATTTCATTAGCAAATTAGGTGACATCATCAGGGGTTAGTAGGGAGGAAGTTTGAGCAACAAACCTCCCCCCACCTTACTAGCAATGATGATGTTACCTAGTTTGGTAATGAAACATCTGCAAGAAAACATGCAAACTCAGAGAACACCAAAGGCCCCACACTAAGAAAACTCTTACAAATTATTATCAGAAGAGACAAGATGTCTTTTTAACACACATACACAAACCCGTACTGGTAGTGTCTTTCTCATCAGGAAATCCCTGGTTCAAATTTCAGTTCTGCCATGTACTCACGGGGTAACCTTAGCCCAACACTCCTTTCTAGTCCCAGCCTTCTTTGGCAGTTCAAAGTCAGCAGGCCCCTATCTAATAAAATTCCTTACTGAAAGATAGGCTGTTGGCTTCCTTTATGATTACTTGTCAAAGAGCTTGTTCTCTCTGGATCTGATTTATTAATTTGTTTCTTTATTAAACGTCTATCCTGCCACGATCAAACAACTTCTGATTTTACCTCACTGTGAGCTATTGAATGAACTCACCAAAAGGCTCATTTAGATGTTAAAGAGCAAGGAAATTAGGAACAAATACAGAGTGAAAAGGACTCCAAGGATCCATTTCATCTTCAACTCTGGATCCAGGGTCGGTCTCTTCAGATGGAGGTACACCAAAGCTTCCTTCAAGACTGCTGGGGACTCCTCTCATGAAGGAGAAAGAGCCAGTGGTTACTTCTACACCCATTCTTCACAACAGTGAAGATTGGCAGGGATAGAAAAGGTAAGTGGTAAATGAAAACCTAGTCAGCACCTATCCACTTCCTTAGAGGTCACAGACCAACGTGAGCTCAAGATAACATCACAAGATGGTACCCCAATCACCACAAGGGACTCTACCAAAATAAGTGTTGTTTTCATACTCCTGCATGTTCTGAATCACCTTGTTTGAATAAAATCTGAAGCACAGCCCATCCCTACTATCAGCATTTAAAGGTAAAGTTCTTTTTAAGCTTACTATCTCAAGATTGATAATGCTTTTGATTGGAAGGAAGAATGTAATGTAACTGAAGAATCATTTACTGCATATAATTCCTTATCTGAGTTTTATTAACAAAGCTGGACAAAGCTGGTCTATGCATTCCAACAGATCATCAAATACTATAGATGAATACTGGACTCCCATTTTTTTTCAGTATTTAAAGGAAGATGCTGCCTCATGTGCTAGATCCCCTGAAATGAGAATTCAGAATAGTCTATAGAACATAACATGACTTTTTTGATGCATGTACTTCCCATATAAAGTTTACACTTACGGTCTTAGCATGGCCTTTTCCTCGTTAGAATCATAATTGGGGAGCGTCACATCAAACATCCGTTTCATTAAAATACGTGCATATTGGCCAAAGTTCAGCTTGGCACATGATTCCCAAAGCACCACATCGTAGGAATGCGGATCCAATAAGACAGTTACAAATTTTCCTGCAACTTTAACCTTAAACAAACAATTACATTTAGTCATGAAGAATTAATTTAGTACATCAATTAAAAGATACAATGAATTTTGAAAAAGAGAGAGAGACATTTCATTATATCCTGATTTCAACTCTAGTCCCTAAGAATCTAAGGATTCCTACTAAGCAGAACACTGAATTGAGATCTTACAGTTTATCCAAAGTCTTGCATGAAATTTTTCTACAGATTCCTAATCCAACATTTTGCTTAATGACCCTGCTTCAAGGATGGAAAACTTGTGAACCCCCAGGAATTGAAGAGTGGAGCTAGAACAATATCTGGAGGGTATGTAAACAGACTGCCTTGACTGTCCTGAGAATCAAGCAGTGGTCTTTGTAGTGCCTATGAGCTTGCATATCACAGCAAATAATGTATTGTGTTAAAAAGGAGATGAACCTAGAAGACAACTTTAGAGGACATGTGCTTATACAGGATACATATTAAATGGTTCCTCAATCTCAATAATGAGATTGTCCTATAAAGAAGATCCCTAGAATCATTATATGAACAAGGACCAGAACAAATGATTGATTCATAATTCAAAAGATTTTGGAACTGAGTGAATAGTTCATGTCCCTTAATGGTACCAATTAAGCTGACTGGGTGACTCTGAGTCGGTCATTTCAGCTCACCTGACCTCACCAGGTTGTTGTTGAGGGTAAAATGTTCATCGCTTTGAGTTATTTATAAAAAAAATAATAAAGGACACTTCCCCCAACATGGATAGTAGGGATTACTATAGTAAGAAAAGAAGAAGGGGAAGAGAGAGAGAGAGGGAGGGATGGGAGGGAGGGAGGGAGGGAGGGAGAGAGAGAGGGGGGGGATGGAGGGAGGGAGACATAAAGATTCCATCAACTGAAACTCAATTCACATTCCAAATTTAGCTAATTTGTACATGTCTGCATATGACTAAGTATGTCCCTAGTAAAAACATTTGACTAACATTTTTGGCACCCCATATTGTTCTAAATCAAGGATTAACTTTGATTCCTAGAAATTGTGCAACTGCTGAGGAATGCTGAGAGCTGTTATTTAGGAACACCTGCAGGATCAAGTATCGCCTACCTCAGTTTTAATTGATTTTGTTTTTGCTCTGGCTTTAAGGAATGAATAGAAGTTTCATACATTAGAATTAAAGACGGAATGATGGAGATTTATTAAAAATCAATTTCATCGGGTCTCCTTTCTTCTATTTTATTTGAATCTTTATTTAAAAGACATATATTCACAAATTTTGAGGAACACTGGTAGCTAATGCTAAATATTATATTCTAAAGAATCTCAACAAAAGCCTCAAGTGTTCCATTCCATTCATTAATTGTAATCAATAATAGCCAATAATTATCATTTGAAAAGTAAGGTTTTCATACTTATTCTGAACATTAATGTATGTTAATCAGAATAGGAATGGAAATTTCAAATCCCAAACTCTGGATAGTATCCTCAGATCAATTCTATGTGTGATTCTCAGATCTCTTTTCCCAAGAATGCTAATGGTCATCCATCGAAAGAGAGCAAGGAAGACAAGCAACAAAGCATGACCCCCGGTCCAAATTCTGCTCTTTAACAGGATATAAAAGGGGTGGGACTTGCAATGGCACTATATCTTATACTTCACCGTTCTGATATCATCGCAAACACCTGCATATGGGCATAGGCTGGCTATATTGTGCTTTTACTTTGGAAGATGATTGAAAAATTGTGTTCTCTTCCATTGGAATTGTATTCTCAATTTTGGATAAACTGCCCTGGATTTTTTTTTTTTTTTTGCTACAGAGGAAGTTTAGAAATTATGCAAATACATAAATAAATGGGTCGTTTAAGGAACTCTTCTTTTTGAAAACCTCCTGATTTCATCTGCCATTAAATAAGAGTGTTTGATTACCTAAAATCAAAACAACTTTCTTTTTGTATAGACATCCTCTTTCAGTGAAGATTAGCAGGTCATCATCTAGAGATGATGAACTTTAAAATATAAGAGGAATGCAGTTGTCCTTTATTTGCCCTTCAGTTAATTCCTTGATTTATCTTGCCTCTTCACCGCTGGTGGCAAAATGAGTAGCATTAGATTCCCATAAAATGCTAGCAGATGCTTCCGTCCAAAAGCTAATATATTATTAAGTGTTTGGAGTGAAATGGCAGATAAAGGGCTTGACTACTACCTAAGCATTGTGGGAGAACAGTAGATTTGAGATCTTTCCAGCATTTCATCGGCTTCATCTGACTCCCTAATTTACAAGGGTGAGGAAGTGCTAAACACATTTACTATCTCTATTTGCTAATAATTCCTTTCCCTGGCTAATGGCTATGACCCTTGACCATCTTAACACATTTAGATAGATGGGAACAGTACTAGCAGTAATACAACTATGCTGCCTTTTTCTCCTTTTAGATCAGGGTGTCAAACTGCCGGCCCGCGGGCTGGATGCGTCATCAGAAAACCACGCCCATCCCATTGCCGGCAATGGCGAAAAAGCTCCGATACGTTGCGCGACGTCACGTGACTCACGAGTTTGACATGTCTGTTTTAGATTTTCAGTGGAAAAAGAAGACGGAAGCACCAATGGGAAAACTCAGATGGCTTGCAACTGAAAAGTGACATCATCCGAGTGCTGTGTAAAAGTCCACCAAAGGAGCACTGCACCTTTATTTATTTAAATCATTTATTAGATTTATACCCTACCTTTATGTAAGGACTTCAGGCAGTTTACAAGATTTTCAAGGCAGCATTCAATGAAGGCCTATTAACACTGTATCCTTCAGGAAATGAGTTTTGGCACCCTGAAGAATATGTAAGTCCTATAAATACTCACCGTGAAAATATCGCCATGCTTCTCTTTCATCTCAGACAGGAACTTGGCAGCATCTTTACCAAATGCCAGTGCATGCCCAAGCCAAGGAATGTGACCTTTATCAAGTGGAGGTTCATTGTGCCGCCTGGAAACCATACCAAGATAGATAATTAACCATGTTACTGTTTAATCATTCCCCATTGTTTCATAAAATACTTTTGTCTTGCATTCTTAGATGAAGTTAAATAATACAAAAGCTGAAAGCTACAGTGTGACTCTGACTCTACAATGAAAAGTGAGCTCGTGGCAAAAGAAGCGCAATTGTCTGCAATCCAGGGCTGTTTGGGGCAGATGTTAAGACCCATTGGTCCAGCCTGATGCAGTGGTATGCAGCACCAGAGCCCTGGGGGGTTCCACCTCTTCAATTGTTATGCTGCTAGTCTAACCTAAAATTGGAGAGAGAGAGGAGAGGAAAGAAGAAGAGAAGAAAGAGAAAAATTGTGCACAGAGGGAACAGAGTAGCTAGAGAGAAAGTCTGGAAGAAGAATTAAGTCTGCAGTTGCAGTAGCAATAGCAATAGATCTTAGACTTATATACCACTTCACAGTGCTTTACAGCCCTCTGTTAGCAGTTTGCAGAGTCAACACATTGCCCCCAACAATCTGGGTCCTTATTTTACTGACCTCAGAAAGATGAACGGCTGAGTCAATCTTGAGCCGGTGAGAATCAAACTGCTGGCAGCTGGCAGAATTAGCCTGCAATACTGCATTCTAACCACTGCGCCACTATGGCAGTAGTTGTTAACTCCTGCTCAGGAATGCCAAAGATGCTTTTTCATAAGGCAACTGGGCTTTCTTGTTTTTCTTTGAAGACTTTTCGCTTCTCATCCAAGAAGTTCCTTCAGCTCTGAAAGCTTCTTGGATGAGAAGCTAAACATCTTCAAAGAAAAACAAGAAAGTCCAGTTGCCTCATGAAAAAGCATCTTTGGGATAACTATGACCAGGATGAACGGAGAATCTCCATAGACATCCTGGTGAGGAAAAGAAAAGTACAGGGCTAGCTTCCCTGGAAGAGGGAAAGTAAAGACTCAAAGGGATGAGAGCTCCACCCAACGCCAAGAATAGGAAGGAGGGATCATCTGGCCATAGACTGTGACTCCATCAAAGAGCCAAGGGAGTAGATGTCAGTGGATAAGCTCTGGTCTGCAGAGAAAGACTGCATAGAAGACTCTGAGAAGGTTCTTCTCCCAATGGACAAGCAGAAGATGTTTGGCTGAAGTTCCAGGAAGAGGTCAAGCCAAGTCAAGGCCAGAAACTGGGGAAGGAGACTAACAGAGTAACTCAGGCAGGAAACCCTATACCATTTCAGACAAACAGTTGTCCAGTCTCTTCTTAAAAAGGGACTCAGAGAAAGGAAGAGGAAGCAGGAGAGCTAGAGGGGGATAGTCCCTGGGAGGGAGACTTAGGAGGAAACCTGACACTGGCTGAATACCAGTACTGTTGCAAACACTACTGTAAATAATGTCATTGTATATAGTAAAAAGCATAAAGGTTTCCACTGTCTTGTTTCTCCGTGTCAATTGCCATCCTTGCAAAACAATTGCTGTGACAGAGATATCTGTAAAACAGCCAACTGAAGAATCTGTAGCCCAGGTGTTTGGCTAAATAAGAAAGGAGGGTGGAGCTTTGGGCAGCCTTATTAAAAAAGAGGACTATTCTAACTAGATAGGCTTCCTTGTACATGGAGTTCCAAAAGTCTAATTAGTTAGCGGGACTGAAATTAATCTAAATTGCATATAGGTAATCTTTGACTTAGAACCTTTCATTTAGTGACCATTCGTAGCTATAACATCACTGAAAAAAGTGACTTAATACTGCAGCATCCCCATGATCACATGTTCAAAATTCGGATGCCTGGCAACTGGCTTATGTTTGTGATGGCTGCAGTGTCCCACAGTCATGTAATCATCTTTTGCGACCTTCTGACAACCATAGTTAATGAGATTCATTTAACAATCATGTTAAACTGGAGTGATTCACTCAACAGTTCTGTCAAGAAAGGTCATAAAATAGGGCAAAACTCACTTAATGACTGTGTCACTTAGCAACAGAGGTTTTGGGCAAAACTATGTTATAAGTTGAGGACTACCTACATAACAAAAGCATGTAGAATAGAGCAGGCAGAGTATCCTTTGTGCACCAAGCAGACCATATCAGAAAGGTAGTATTCAAGGCTTTGAAAGATACATACTGAACCTCAGCTGGACTGGCCTTTATTAAATAGAGAATTTCTTTTTAAATAAAGCAGAGGATTGTCTTCTCAAGCCTATCAAAATGAGGTTAGGCTCTCCAAAAGAAAGCAGATTGTTTGCTGCAGTTGCACATGACAATGATTTGTGGAAGAGACATTCTTCCATCATCCAGCATTCTCTGCTGAAGATTCCAGGTTCAATCCTAACAGCTTTATAGAAAGCTGATAAAAGACTCAGAAGGGCTGAGAAAGACTTCTTCCTGAGGTAGATTTCTTCTGAAATCTAGCATTGGGCTAGATAAAGCAGTTAATTTATATCAGTCTTCCCCTTATGGTGGCAGTCTGGACATATGTGGATGTCAACTCTCAGAATAGCCATTATAGAGAATTGTAGAAATTGAAATCCACAAATTTGCCTATACCAAAATTGGAGAAGATTGGGATAGACCAGTCCAAGGCAGCTTCCTATGTTTCTATCATCAGCAATCTTTCATGGAAAATATCCAAAATCCTTCCAAGATATACTGAGGATCATCAGGGCAAAGCAAATTATGATAGACATGGAAAATAAGAATAGCTAAGACTGCAAAGTGATTTGCTTCTAATGCTAAACTTGGTGAAGTTTACCATCCTCATAATAGTAGAGGTAATTGGCATCATATGGCAGAAGTTTAGAGAGAAAATTAAATTAAAAAAACTGTTTAAGGGGTGAATTATTGGCTTAGATACCTACCCTCCATATTGAGAAGACAGAGCCTTATTAAGATAAATTATACTTTAGATAAACGTATCACAATTTAAAAACCCGTCAAAATGTTTCATGTTTGTGGTTAGCAGATGGATTTCCCAGAGTAATTGTGTCATGTTTAACTATTGCAACTTGCCAGTATGAACATTAATTTAATCAGATGCAGATGTCTGAAATTAATTGAAAGCACATTATAAATCAGAAAAAGTTTATACATATTTAACATAGTCCTCAGTACCAAACAAATGCCGCAATCCTGAATTGAAGAATCAAAATGAAGGAATTATCCTTCCTAAATAAATCTCTCCAGACTTAATTTGGTTCAGCACAGTTTTTGATTTGTTGAAGTTCTGGCTTACGGGCATGGGTGAACATTTCACTATAGGCAGAAGTCTAACAGATGTAGCTTTTCCTACATAGAGGAAAACATATGAAGAACAACTTGAGATGCTTCATTCATGAAAGAAATGAAAGCTATGTATTGGCATATAAAGTCATAGCATTGGTCCTATTTAATTGCAGATTAAGTGTGGGAGAGGATTATATTTTAACTGATTGAACTGAAAGCACAACAAGACATTTGGCCAAAATTAATGGCAACTTTAACTGTAAGCATTTGATTTGATATTCAACCACTTTGAATATCTGCTATTAAGCATTAAGGACCAACAGTCACTTTATACTGTCATTTTATATCAGTTTGGCTATTGGAATGAAATATAACTATTTGTTCCTAATCTATTCCTATTACTGGGAGATAAGTAGAGTTTCCCTTGAGATGAATTCAGCTTACACTGACTTCATGGATATGAAGTCCTCGATTTAGGATCACAATTGGGACCTGAATTTCCCTTTTTAAGCAAGGTGGTTGTTAAGTAAGTCATGCCTGATTTTATAACATGTTTTACCATGGAAGTCACTGCAGTGATTAAGTGAATCTGGCTTCCCCAATTGACTTTGCTTGTCAGAAGCCAGCTGAGGTCACAAAAGGCTGTAATGGCTCCCTCCGACGTTCACTGAGGAAGAACCGATTCTGGTGAGCACCAGGGGGAACCAGAGGGACAAGGCGAAATGGTGCAGGAACCACTGGAAGAATCTGAGAAGGAGTAGCTGGATGAACAGCTGGCTGGGCCATCTGGAGAGGGAGCACAACTGCAGACGGTCAGAGCTGGCAATTAGCTACTTGCACAGACCAGGGAGGAAGAACATCTGCAGTAGCAGGCAGCACAGAATAGGAGGAGTTGCCACGTTCACCTGATTCCAGGATGTGCAGTGAAGTGCAATGGAGGTCAGCAAGGCTACTTGCAAGGAGGCAGCCTCGCCCCTCCTATTTATCTCAGGGTATGGAACTGGGTGGTTGTCAGAAAAAACCATTCATATTCTGTCATTTGTGTGTGCTCTTGACCACTTTGCCTGTGTTTGGACTTTTTGTGCTTTGACTTCATTGTTTTCATTTGGATTTTCCATGCCTTGACTCTATTGCCTTTGCTTGGACTTTGCTTGTGTGTGCTCTTGACTTTATTGCCTTAGTTTTGATTTTCTGTGCCTTGATTCCATTACTTTGTTTGGATTTTTCCATGCCTTAACTTCCTGGATTTCCCATTGACTTCGGTGGATTTCATCACCTTTGCTGGAATTTGGTTCTGCCCATGCATACTTGGGTTAGGGTGGGTTACCTTGTTCGTATTCTGCCCCTTCTTTCGTGTTGTAAAATTAAGTGAACTGTGGCTGGCTGGAAATGGATCACTGAAGGACTGCACTTGCAGTGGAACCTGGGGAATGACAAAGGGGCTTAATGGTGTGAAATAAAAATGTTGAACCCCGCTTGTGTGTGCATGTGTAGACTGGGACAAGACAATGCCTATCATATGACCCTGGGATGCTTGCAACCATTGTAAATTTTGATCATATGACCGTGGAGATGCTGGGATGGTTGTAAGTGCAAGGACCAGCTGTAAATCACTTTTTTCAGTGCTGTTGTAACTTTGAATGGTTGCTAAATGAACAATTATCAAGAACTACCCGTAGTTTTCTTGATAGCAATACAAAAGTGACTTGCCAGTGCCACCTTCTTCGATGTTTTTCAATTATAGCCAATAACCATGCATTTCCTAGCAGTTTCCCACCTATGTACTAACCAGGTCTGA